ACATGTCGCTTTCTGGCTTTCTGGGGCTTTGGAGATGCATTTGTGTGATTTTGTGGTATCTTTTGTTGGGACGGTTCTCTGTGCTTGTCTTTTCATTAGGCTGTTGAACGTGTGTGTTAAAAGAAAAAATAATTGCAATTATCTGTTCATTTTTTGCAAATTAATTTACCACAAAAACAACACGAAGGTTTGTTAATTTGGTCTCCAATCCTGCCAATGAGCTTTCGAAATCAGATACATCCCAATCGGTGAGAGAAGTCACGTACTCATATCATCAATGGTATCTACGTGCATGAAAGCGTTCAGCCTCGATGGTTTACCATGCTCCATACGCCCAAGCATGATTGATGATAGTATTTTTCATTAACAGAATATCGAAATAAAATTTACTAGATATCTTATATTTTTATTTTTTTTCTGATTATATATATACTTCATCGTGTATTTTGTCGTCATGTTTGACACATGTGTAAAATAATAAATTGATATCGTATGTATTAGATATACAATTGGGAAACTATCAAAGGCAACCTTCTAGAATTGGTGGAAAATTTGGGTTTTCCTTGGCCACTAATATATTTCTTTTTCTTAAATTGACATGCCTATTTATTTAATTTTCTATTGTTTTGGACTATGATTTTATCTTTTTGGGATGGCCCAAATCGACTAATTCAATCCAATTTTAATTGGTTTCAATGATTTGGTGTATTGGATTGGATCCCTAATTTCCAAAACCGACATGATTGGATCGGATGACAGATTTGCTTGTGAGGATCCAATCCAATCCAATCAAATCCAATCTAGTTAGTTTCATGCTTATTTTGCTCATTAGGTAATGAAAAATGCTAGGGAGACCATTTTTAGATACAAACTTGTGTACCATTTCTCTAATAAAGAGTGAGACCCATTGTATTGGTGGACTCCACCTATATTAGAGACATGGTACACAAATTAGTATCTAAAGATGGTCTCCTTAGCATGACCCTGAAGTAATTTTCATTAAGGAAGTTATAAATATTTTAAGTAATTTGATGAAGTTATGTTTAATATATTATAAAATCAAAACAATTTTCTCCAACATTTCATTTATATTTTACATTTAGGTCTATTAAAATGTTTGATTCTATTAAACTTGACGATAAATGTTTCATATTTCATTATCATCTTTTTCCATTATGAAAACCGATCATCCAATCCAATATTGGATTAAATTGGATTTAAACCTCTAACGTGAACGGATTAGATTGGAAAAATCATAATCCAATCTATATTGGAATCATATGAGGATTGGTGAAATTGAATTGGTTTCGAACCGATAAACACCCCAACCCACTGGCGGACCCATAAATTTTTTAGTGGATGTGCAATATTGATTAAGTATGAAAAATTGTTTTTCGGAATAATCATTTTCTCAAGATAATTTTTGGCAGCTTTTATTCCTTACATATCAAATAAGAAAACTTAATTTTATGGGATTTTAGTATGAAGTATATATTGACTTAATGAGCCATCATTTTTAGCCTAAATCATATTTTGCACTAAAACCGAATTTTCATATTTTGATTTGGTGGGAATTTGATGTTCTAGTATTTTTATTTGAATCCAAATGGGGGGTACTTTCTTATTTACATTGTAAACTTAAGTAAATGTTATTTTTATATTACTCCATTTACTTAAATGTTGAAAATGGAAATAAGGTAATTTGTACATCAGTTGAGCAAATGAGCAATTTGAAGCACCTACAATGATTTTTCCTGCGAGGGGAGGGGCAGCTGCACCTCCTTGCACCTTACTAGGTCCGCCAGTGCCCCTACCTGCTTGCATGAAAAACAGCCATGATTAAGTAAAACCTAGCAACTAATTTGAAGAGAAAACATTATAGTATAATTGAAGACCTAAAAAAACAAGTAAATTACACATTTGAAGGGTTAAAATAATGATAATTAAGCTCTGGCTAAATTCCTAATTAATGACATCGACATAATGAAAGGAACGAGAAACAGAGAGCATCAAAAGTCAGAATCCAGATGCATGTGGTCAGTTGGTGTTTACTTTGCTTTCTCATTGTTAAAGATATTTCAAGAGTCTACTAGTCTTACTTGATTTCATCAGCATTTTCTAAAAGGACAAATATAAAGTTAGTGCATGTGGAGATTATAGGGTTGTCTTGCAATTCAACAACCTTTTATTTTATTTTATATAGTTTTATTTTTATTTCTTAGTCATCTGAATTCTGAACCATGTTTTTAAAAGTTATTTTGAGTGGTTAAATTAGTTAGTTGAGATCGTGTCATTATGCATTGATAATGGTTTTTTTTTTGTTTTTTTTAATAGTCGTATAAGTGATATTCTAAATTATAAAGGAGGATGATTTCTCACACACACACAAATTAAGTCCTTAATTCAGAAGATAAACTTTAGATACGTACAAGATCTTTATATATCATATCGGTATTATAGAAACTTATGTTGAAGAATAACTAGTACACGAATTGAAAGAATTTATCTTTTACCAAAGTATTTATTTTTTCTTAGACAGAAACTTTTCTCTTCAACTTAGCTATATGAAATGAGTATCCTTATACTTTTAGATTAATATTATTCAATTCTTGTGGTTGGCACCCAACTTATGCTAAGTACTTAAATTGACCATCTACTGAAAAAGTTTATAAACCTTTCATGTGAAGCTTAAATTTTGAATTGAGATCCAGCTTATAATGGTGGAGCCAATTTGTTACGTATAACTACTTTTGGAGCCCACATATTTTAATCTATGGTATAACTTGATCAATCATGATAATCATCATCTCTAGCTAACATGAGGCAATGATTCCTTTCAACTTGCAATCAACAACCAAAATCAAATCCCAAGTCCAAAGGTTTTTTTGTTTTTGTTTTAATACAAGTGATAGTTTCTCATACACACACTGCAATGATGTTATGAGGGTTCGAATATGATGCTACTAGTCTATAAGTCAAAGGCATTTTCCACTGAACTAGATCTAGTTGGCTTTATCTAAATCTTCAGTTTGAATTTTAAAATAAAAAACCCATTATTCATGTATCCGAGATTCTAAATTTGATTTCCCCTCTCTCAACATGCTGTTTTAAAAAAAAAAAAAAAAAAAAAAAAAAAAAAAAAAAAAAAATTTTTTTTTACCAACCCCCAATCGGTTGACATGAAAAAAACCTACCTGTTATCTCTAGGATTCTTTCTGGCTTCAAAGGTCTTCGATCCCTACCCAACCCATGAAGCAAAAAATGCACATGCAATCGAGTGTACATGTGACTCGTGTTGCACATGGAGTCAAAAAGCTCCAACACCAATTAATTAAAACTCCTTCACTTGCTGCTTGCTGTATAAGAAACAGTCAACAATATTGGGTTGGATTTTTTTTAATTAAAAAAGAAAAAAGAAAAAAGAAAAAGAAAAAAGGGGGATGGATTAATTTAGACGTTGACTCATATACATTGCTCACTAACCAAGCATGACATCATAAGCACATCAATTATCACCAGCAAAGAAATATTGAGCATGCCACCACCTAAAGTGATGTTCTTATAAGCACATGTTGGGTTCATGATTGTGACACAATCAAGATTGAGTGCTTTACTTTGCATAAATAGATACTTGGGAATGGTTGTAATTAGTTTGAAGAATCAAATCTTTCTAGGGGAGAGGTTTTCATGTAAGAAAGAAGAATTGTTTTCCGTTGCCCATTTTGCAGCATTTGGAAAAAGAATCTTGTGGATGTTGCATGTTGGATATAGAGTTCCAAATCCTCAAGCAAGAAACTTCTAAGTTTTTGGGTGTCAAATGGTTGCCGATTCAACTTTGTTATGTTCCTAAAATCTAAAAAGAGTGATACAAACTAAGAAATGCTTGGATATATATGTTGGGTCAAGTCTTACATAGACATAGAGATGATAGATAGATCATAGAGCCACTCAAGGCTCAACCACTTGAAAAATGTCGATGTTATAGCTCGTAAAACTTTCGGATGGGATTTGAGTGTCTTATACCACACTCTAATTAGATTTTTAATCTGAATGATCTTTAATTATATTTTTAATATGAATCATTAATCAAGTAAGCAATGAAAAATACGACATTCAACATGAAAAGATAAAATAAGAAGAAAAAATAACTAATCAAATCCTTTAAAAGTATTCCATACTTACGTGACATTTGATATGCACACTATATCATTGTATTGAAAACACAATCATAATGTAGATCAAAATTGATAATGTCACATTATAATTCGGACACATATTAAGAATAAGTTGAATTAACATATTTAGAGGCGATAAGTTAACATTTCGAGAAAGATAAGTACACCCTTAAGAAGAAAAGTGTTACCAAGTCAACCTAGAGACAGAGCATGCTATGCTGCACACACAACATAAAAAGCTAACAAAACTCAAACAACCCAAATGCCATTAACGAAGCAACCACAAAAAGACAGTAGATTTGGGAAGAAATTCCAGCGCAAGATTGAGCACCGAGTCAACCTACGTCTTTTATACGGCATTATATGAAATACTTGTATTGGTAGAGCTATATACCCTACCATATGGTATAAACTATTAACCGTAGGTGGAGAATTTAACCCAAGTAAACAAAAACAAACCCCCACCCAACCCAACCCAACCCAACGTTTTCTTCTATTCTACCATACAAACAAACACAAATACCTCAATTCAACCCTTCCCAATACGCTCTCTCTCTAAAACCCACGCACACTCTCTCTCTCTCTAAGAATTTTCACACCCAAAATAACGGCATATTCTCTTCTCTTTCTCCCCATCTCTCTCTTTTGCTCCCAACTTTTCTTGGAAAATCCTTCAAACCAAACCCAAAAAACCCTTCAAAATTATCAATTTTCCCGGGAACCAAACAGCACTTAGAGAATTTTTTGATTCAGATTAAGGGTTGTTCTCTTAATTTGTTTTTGAAATTTTTTCTTTTGTGGGTGTCTGGGGACTGATTCAAAAGAATGGTGGTGAAGATGATGAGGTGGCGTCCATGGCCTCCTCTGACCACGAAGAAGTACGAAGTGAGGCTTGTGGTGCGGAGGTTGGAGGGCTGGGATCTGGTGCGGGAGGCTGCAGGTGGGGCCGACCCACTGGAGAAAGAGGACAAGTGGACGGCGGAGATTATGTGGAAGGGATCGAAGGTCAAGGTCGGGGCCTTGAGCTCTCTCAGGCGTGCCATCGTCAAGAGGAACTTTACCAGAGAGGTCGAGGCTTCTTCCGAAAACGGCGTCATTCAGTGGGACGAGGAATTTCACAGCGTTTGCTCTTTCTCGGCTTACAAGGACAATGTGTTTCACCCTTGGGAGATCGTCTTCACTGTCTTCAATGTAAGTTCCAATTTTGGTTCTCATATTTCTCCTTCGATCTCTTTTGGGTCTCAATCATGTGATAATGTTCTAATTAGTGTGCAAAATTTAGTGGGTTTTTTTTTACTCTTCTTCTTCCTTCTTTCTTTCAGCAATTGATAATGAAATTTGGTATAAAATTTTGATGGGATATGGAGGAATTTTGCTTTTTCTGTTCCTTTTTGGTTAAATTTGTTGTTTTAGAATTTCAGTTGTGAAAATCATATCCTTATGTGTGTTGTTTAAAAAAAAATAAAAAAATTATAATGTTATTTAGAGAATTTATTCTGAAAATAGCTTGAAAGTAGAGACCTAATTTTTGAAATTAAAATTAGATACTTATTGTATGTGCCTGCAACTCCTAATTTCTCTTTCAAAGCTGTTGTTGTCATTTGACTTCTTCTCCAGAGGATTTGTTTTAAATTTCCTTAAAATAAAATCATCTCCCTGTATAATTAAGGGTTGGATGGATTTGGTGGAGTATTTTTTTTTTATGCTTTTAACAAGGTCAAATTTTGGCTGTTGGACTCTTTTGGAGGGTCATTGACTGCGGCCTTTTCACACTGAGACTTAGAGACAGAGTTAACAATAGATTGGGGCAGTGTTGTTGAAAATCATATATGATCGTCAAGGGGGTTTTTCAGCCCATAAGCTTTACAATCTATGAATAGTTGCTTTAATTACCCATTCCTCAAGGTCTTCGAATCACTGAAAGTTATTATCTGTCTTTGAATTCAACACCTCTATACTCAGAATTGCTTCTTTTGTTATGGGTTTTATGCGATTTGGTGCTTGAAAGTAGATGTGTTTTGCAATACATATTTCCTTAGCATGAATGAAATATATGGAATTAGAGTGGTGTTCAAATTTCCATTTCAATATCATTTAATATTTTCTCATAGTTCTTTTCGTTTTTGGTATACTCTATACCATTTTCTAGAGAACTGAGGTGCAATTCTAATACAGGGTTTGAATCAAGGGCCCAAAAATAAGGCTCCTGTTGTTGGAACAGCATCAGTGAACCTTGCTGAATTTGTTTCGGAAGCTGAACAGAAGGAGCTTCAGTTAAACATCCCCCTCACATCATCTGGTGGTGCTGCTGAGCCATGCCCCTCACTTTGTGTACGTTCCTCCCCATTATTTTCCAGTTATTCTTTCACTTGCTATCCTTTCTTGGTAGAAATTAGCTTGATCCTGCTGTTTCTTAATTTGCTGAAGTTTTAGAATTTCTGATCTCAAGTTCTGATAAACTTTCAGATATCACTCAGCTTATTGGAACTGAGAACTGCTCAAGAAATCACAGAGCCAGTGCAAAGATCACTCGTGCCTGTTCCATCACCGCCTCAGTCAGCAGAGACTATCTCGACAGAAAAAGATGAGCTTTCTGCTCTTAAAGCTGGGCTTAGAAAAGTAAAGATTTTTACCGAGTATGTGTCTGCTAGAAAAGCAAAAAAGCCCTGTCGTGAGGAGGATGGCAGTGAGGGTAGGTGCTCTGCCAGGAGTGAGGATGGTGAGTATAACTATCCTTTTGACTCTGATTCACTGGATGATTTTGAGGAAGGTGAATCAGAAGAGGTCAAAGAGGATTCCACTGTTAGGAAGTCATTCAGTTATGGCACACTGGCTCATGCAAATTATGCTGGAGGATCAATTTACTCCAATATGAGAATCAATGGTGAAGGTGAGGATTGGGTTTACTACAGCAATCGTAAATCAGATGTGGGGTGCTCACAAGCTGAGGATTCAACTGCATCAGTCTCTGAGCCCTCTGCAAGTTCAAAGCGAGGCTTACTATCATGGAGGAAGAGAAAGCTGAGCTTCATTCGCTCTCCTAAAGCCAAAGGAGAACCATTGTTGAAGAAGGCCTATGGTGAAGAAGGTGGTGATGACATTGATTTTGATCGTCGGCAGCTTAGCTCCGATGAATCCCTATCTCTCGGGGTAAGAATTCATTATTAATTGTTCGTGTTACCATGGTTTAAAAGATAAGATAGGTTGCATTACCAATTTTTGACCATAACTAGTGGAAGCTTGCTTCCAAAGTTTGTTTATCGACTCAGGTTTTGGTTGTTAATTTGAATCCTGGGTTATGGAAACTTCTGTCTTAAAAACCCTTGTGCCAAGATCTTAATTTGTCCTGGATATCAGAATTAATTAACGAAGTAGTTGAACTTAGATAGAACTTGGTCTTTCCTACCAACCTTGAATCTAAAGTTTCTGAACCTAACTAAAGTACGAGACATATGTTGCTTGGATGATTTTCATGATCTTATAAGCTTGTTTCCTTCTAAATTTCTTTATAAATAAAGATTCTCAAGTTCTTATTACAAATAATGTCAAATTTTTTCACAGTGGAACAAGACGGAGGAGGATTCATCTGCTAATCGGTCGTCAGTGTCTGAATTTGGAGATGATAATTTGCCATAGGTAGTTGGGAGAACAAGGAAGTGACAAACCGTGATGGACACATGAAGCTTCAAACTGAGATCTTTTTTGCTTCTATCGATCAGCGAAGTGAGCGAGCAGCAGGTGAGAGTGCATGCACAGCTCTTGTGGCAGTAATTGCTGATTGGTTTCAGAATAACCGAGAGCTCATGCCCATAAAGTCCCAGTTTGATAGTCTGATTCGAGAAGGCTCATTAGAATGGAGGAATCTTTGTGAAAATGAGACCTATAGGGAGCGATTTCCGGACAAGCACTTTGATCTTGAAACAGTCCTTCAAGCCAAAATACGTCCTCTTTCTGTAGTTTCCGGGAAATCCTTTATTGGTTTTTTCCATCCTGAGGTAGTGGAAGAGGGACGATTTGACTTTTTACATGGTGCAATGTCCTTTGATAACATTTGGGATGAGATTAGCCGTGCTGGATCAGAATGTGCTAGCAATGGTGAACCTCAAGTTTATATTGTCAGCTGGAATGACCATTTCTTCATCCTCAAGGTGGAAGCAGAAGCCTATTACATCATTGATACACTAGGGGAGAGGCTCTATGAGGGATGCAACCAGGCGTATATCTTAAAGTTTGACAGCAGCACGATAATTTACAAAATGCAAAATATCGCAGAATCATCTGATGATAAAACAACCAGTGATCAGCCAATTGTGGCAGGAGCAGGTGAATCCAAGAACCAGCAGGCCCAGCAAGCCGAGCAGGTCAATGAAAAGGAGGAAGGATCAACAGTAGAGGCAGAGATAACCAAGCTGGAGGAGCAGAAGGAGGAAGAGGAGGTTGTGTGTCGAGGGAAGGAGTCATGCAAAGAGTATATAAAGAGCTTTTTGGCTGCAATTCCAATAAGGGAATTGCAGGCAGATATCAAGAAAGGGCTAATGGCATCCACACCTCTTCATCACCGGTTACAGATTGAATTCCACTACACCCAGTTCTTAAAACTGTTGCCTACTACTCCGGTAGCAGAAGTGATGGCAAATGCTTCACAAAGTCTCGAACTTTCCACAACAGAGGTCGCTGCATAAATTGTAGGAAGTGTGATTACTCTAACTGTATTGTTTTTTCCCTTTGTTTTTTCCCTTCAACTGAGTGTTCTTAATGGAACAGGGATTTAACCAATAGGAAAGTTGTCTTAAGCTTTTTGAGTGGCATGGGAGAGGTAAAGCTTGTATCCCTTTCTAATTTAGGCTGGAAATGAAGGTGTATGATTTAGGGTGGAAATGAAAGTGTATGATTTTAGGGTGGAAATGAAAGTGTGTGTTTCCACGGTTGGAGCTTTGTGCTTGTTAACTTAATTTTGTGGCATAGCCCTTTAACTTTGACCGTTCTTTACATGACCGTGTACTTTCTCTTTCATCTGACTCAGCTCTGACTTCTTAGCCAATGTTATCACTCTTTCTACACATCTCAAAATTCCCTTTCAATGGCTTTTAACTTTTGCAGACTGGTGTAGTGAAAATCCAACTATTCTGTTCTGCAGCTACTTTGTGGTTCCAATTTCCCATATTATTTCTGATAGCTTTATATCCACCTCTTACATTTGACAGATGGATTCTGGTTTTGTAAAAATATATTATGTATAAAATTGATTTCAGATATTCCTTCTTTTTTTGGTAAATCTGATATTCCATTCCCAAATTGGTGCATCTCATTAGCTGTAAAGATGCATGGGGAAACTTTTTCCTGAGCAAAAAAGAAAAGAAACAAAAAGATGGATTATGCCTTTCAAGTTTGGTCTACGAGGACATGAAAAGATTCTTCAAAACATGCACGCTGTCTTGAAGGAAAAGTTGAAGCCTGGAAATTTTCCACCACTAGGGCACTACCTAAAAAACATAAACATTTAACTCTGCATATGGCATGTGGTGTTTGTTGTGAGGGTTTTCTTTAGAATTTTGGCTCCTGTAGTGCACGTTCAGAATATACCAACCTCTAGGCTGTAGGTACAAGTTTCTGTCATGGTTTGGCTGAAATGCCTTCTTATTATTATTTTTTTTTATCAACAAAAAGGGGATCCGAACATATGTTATCTGACATCCGGACATAACTAGAAATAATAATAGTAAATTCATGTTTGAATATGTAGTCCAAATTAACAGTGTGATAAAATTAGGGATTAGATAGCATACCTCAAGAATATTGTTCTTTTTAAAAGGTTAAATGATTTTCTTCTATAACCAGTAGATCTGATTTTACATTTTTCTTTTCTTTGTGGCCCTAATTGATTTTCATAATCCTTATCAGGCCTAATCTCAAACCACCTTCACAATTTATTTCCTACTTCTTTTCCGGCACGATGTTCCTTTGGATATTTTTCTCGAATTTAAATTATTTATTTCGGTAATTACCTTATTATGATAGTGATGGTTTAGGTTGAATATATATTTTTTCCACCTCTTCAAATGGGATTTTTTTTTGCATAATGTAATGGAGGGTTACATCAATTCAAGCCGGCTTTTGAGGCACTCAACAAAGCAGACAAATAGACCAAGACATTTGCCTTGTCAATGTAATTGTATTCGCAACACAAATCCAACTAAGCTTGAATGCAACAACTGAGAAAAAGTTGAAAGAGCCATCAACATTATGGATAGGGTTGAATCATTTTTTTTAAATTTCAATTCATTAAAGCAATTCTATTCCGTACAGAAAAGCAAAAAAAAAGAAAAAAAGAAAAAGGATTTGCACATTAAAGTGGTAGATGTACAAAGCTTTTGATTTATTTACTCAAACCAAACAAAAAAAGAAAAAGAAAGCTTTCAGTTTACATCCAGTCACTGTCTTGAGCCAGCCTTAAAACGACTTGACGTTGCAGCCTCTAAATATTGGTATGGATTTATGGGCTTCTAAGCGATTGGTGTCAAAGGATTGGGCTCGGCTTGTTAAGATTTTATAAGAATTCTATATTAAGGGTCTTATATATGGCTCTTACATAAGGCCATATATTTTAATCGTTGAATCAAACGTAATCTAACGGTTAAGAGATAAGAATCACTTAAGAGCTATATATAAGGTCCTCACTATAGAATGACCATTGCTTTATTAATTGGGTAGCTTCCACGCCAACAGGTCTAGCCCAATGAAAATGACCTTGATTTGCAGGTCAATGGTCTCAAGTTTGAACCCTTATGACATCTTGACAATGTGTGCGAGAAAAACCCCCTCCCCTAATATTGGTTATATCAAAAAATTGGGTAGCTTCCAAACTTTCAAGTTTCAACAATCCAAAGCTAAACCATTTTCCAATCTACTAACTGGCACTTAGTTATCTCCACTTAATTAGAGCAGGTATTTGGTTTGATTCAATGCATACGAATTCGGTACCGTATTTGATGTGAGTTTGATACTTACTTAAGGCAGAGTAGGTATCTAGTTTGATTCAATGCATACGAGTTGGGTACTGTATTTGATGCAAGTTTGATACTTACTTGCGGCGGGACCCATTATGAGGGGATTATCTAATTGTATAAATACAACTTTGTAAACATAAATCATTTCCTATCTTCACCGTGTCTTAACTATGCCCTAGCCCATGAAAGCATGGCCAACAGTGTTATGTGGTAGACATTCGTTCAAACATCAGTTCACATAATTAATGATCCATATTTGATACCATAGTCTAACATCACTTACATATATATATATATATATTTTTTTTTTTTTTTTTTCTTTTTCTTTTTCTTTTTGTGGGTATGAATAGATGAATTCATAGAAGCTAATGGTAGCAAAGAGAGCAAACCCCAACCAAGAAAGAAAAGACAACATAATTATACCTCAACAACAACCTACTTGAACAGCAAAACAAAAGGAAGGAAACGAAACAAGGGCCGAAATCAACCAAGAACAGCATCCCATGTAACAAGACCAGCAACCAAAGGAAACCATGTCATCATCAGCTAAGGCAATCTCCACTCAGCAGTCAGCAGCCACAACAAGGTTAGAAGAAATAAACTTGAAAGCAACAGAGCAAAGCCTACTTGTCACGGTGGAGATGGTACACCGGAGAGAACATTTAAATATACGATACTAGACTGTTTGACAAGAGAACATTTCACTTAATTAGAATATCAAGCCGGTACAAATACTAGCCAACTAACACAGGTTATTTGTAATCTAACAGTAAACTTCATAATCTTGAGTCCCAAGATGCAGTGGTAGGCTGGCTTGCTCTTATATTTTCTCTCCTTGCCCATCAAAATACAAAAAAATTAAAACAAGGGAAAGATGCCTTGGCACTTTTAACATAAAGTTGTTGGCGTGAATGCTTCATTATCATGAGCCCCACACCATCCTTTAGTACCTAAACTTTTCCATATCAATGAGTGACTTTTATCTAAATTTTAGGAAGAGCCATGTGCATGGTCTTCGATTGCCCATCATTTCAAATCTTTCATCTGACCACAAGAAGTTTCATTAATCTACTTACAACCTGAGGAGAAAATTAGCATAAACAAAGTCCTCTCACCTGACCAAAAACCCCAAGAACTCATTCCACTTGCAGTTCTTTCGGCTTTGAAATCGAAATAAATGGAAATGGAAGCTTTCTTCAAGCCTCAAAATTCCATGTTCAGTTCCAAACTATGCAAAAACAGAACAGTCAGGATTATAAATATAACAATTTAACATGGTTGTGGGACCACAACAATACTACTTAGTACTCTACTATATGTCAGAGATTCTTACAGCTGAAATTCTACAACATCAGATTGTTAGTTCTTCATATTTCAGACAAGCTAATGCATCACAAATACTAAGCATTTTACAAACCGAAACGTAATAACATCGAAACAGGAAAGCTAGTTGAGTTTTTCAGCAGCAGATGGAGCATTTAACTAAACCATTTTCATTGCACTCGGGACATCTAATGTGCAGCTCATCATTCTCATCAAGATCACCGTCTTTGAAGACTCTGCGACTGCCATTGCAGTTGAAGCACACCACAAAACGCATGTTGGCACAGCCGGTGCATGGGGAGTTAGACAGGTCTATTGGGATTCCTTTTAGGAGCTTCTTCAGGTTCCCTTGCTCATGAAGTCCTATTACTTCATCAGCTCCTCCAATGTATCTTCCCTTGATGAAAAGCCTTGGAGGGATCACTCTACCACCAAATATCCTCCACAACTCTTCCCTGAATCCCATGTGCATCGAAACGTCCCTCTCATGCACCGATACTTTGAAGCTTTCCAGCAAAAACCGGATAGCCTTGCATGCCTCAAACGTTTTTCTGACACCTGTCAAGCTTGTTGAGTAGAGAATGACAGAATTGCCTCCTCCTGGTGGACACTTCTCCTCAAAATCTGATAAAGATGGATGTTGGTCCTCCTCATCATCCTTTGCTTCATGAAAAATTTCATGCTCCAAATCGATGTGAGACAAGACCATATCCCCCGAGCTATCATTGGAAGGCACTGTCTCTGTGGACTTCATGGAGGGTGGTATAACAATATTCTCCTTGTGGCCAACATTGAAATCGAATTCCATATCTTCATCTTTGAGCTCTACTTCATCATTGTGAACTCGCAGAGACAGTGTTTGATGGTTGTGATTGAAGAATTTTTCTGTGGGGTTCAGCTGAAAGAGCAGGCCATTTGTGAAAGTGCCAATTGTTGGGATGGACTTCAATTTCTTGAGAAATTTTCCTCTCACTCCTTTCATCTCTTTGCTTTGTTTAGTTCATGGAATGGCATGTGATCAACATTCAGATAAAGAGTGGGGAGAAAGGAAGAGTGTATTTGAGTGAAAATGACTGGTCAGGAGATTGGAGGTCCAGAGTAGGATGACATTTTCTCTTTTGTCTTCCAGTGGCTCTCCAAAGTGAAAACTGAGAAAAGTTGGGTGTTGGACGCTTTTTAGTGTTTAGGTGGGGGCTGTTTCTTAGGGCTAATTGACCCGTCACCAAATACCATTCATGATTTAAGTGGTATGATTGTAATTAATTCCATCACATAATTACTAGTACAAATGACTGAAATGTCCTCTTATGATCACTGAAATGCGGTGGTCAGCTTTATTTTTATTTTTTGGATACGAGCGATATCAGGGAATGAGAAATCGAACCTAGGATCTCGGGTGTATGAGTATATGTTTCTAACCACTTGAGCTATAAATCCCTTACAATGCGGTTATGCCTTTCGTATGTCCGAGGGACAAGAGTTAATTCCGGGGAGACAGTGAGGTGTGCCTATTAGACCATGATTCATTCTGAAGAGAGCAAAAAGCAGAGCTTTTTCTTTTTTCCTCTTTCTATCAGCTGGGCTTTGGAACCCTCGAGATGACAACTAAAGTGACTTTTTGTACCCGCAATCACCACCCAACCATCACGGCCATCATGTTGCAAGATGAAGTCTAAACTCAAAAGCTTCTACACTCGGCTCAAAACCCTCAAAAAATTGTGTTATTATAGCAGTAAGCAGCAAGAATATCCTCAACCACAAGGTAGTTTGCTTGCATAAAGCATGCGTTAATTGTGGGTGCATCAAATCTTGGGCCCTGTATCTTTCTATGCCGATTTTGTAAGGGTAAGTTAGAGCGCGGTGGTTCTATCATTTGATATCAGACAGGTAGTTGTTGGGGATGGGGTCTCTTGGGTTGGGACGCTACCTATATAAAGCATAATCCATAGAGTCCACGCAGTTCGCAATGATTGGCCACCGTGACTGGCGGCTTGCAATTCAGTTCTTTTTTGGGGATCGAAAGGAAGATTCGAACTTAAGACCTGAGACCTCTATTAAGACCTCTATTAATGTTTGACTGGAAAAAAAATACCACCAACGGGATCATTGATTCATGGTCATCAACTATTTTCTGTGTAGTGTATGAAACAGTTTCTTCTACCCACAAATGTAGTCTATAATCAGTTCATGGATGGAAGCACAAATTTCTGTATGAAGTAAGGCTTAGGCACTCTGGAGCTACACTCGACTGGGCCAAAGATTGCATGTGCCTTGCACCTGCTTGTTATATGATTTAACAATTTTATTGTTCTTTATGGTTTTTCCTAGCCAAGCCAAAAATTTCTTGTCAGCCTAGGATTACACTTTACAGCATGAAATATAACAATATCTCATATTTAAATTCCTGTTCCATAACTTCCAATAGTCTTAACAAGTAGATGGAATGACAATGATTTACACATCACAACGTACCAGCAAATTTGAAGTATAAGTATGGACCTGGATAATTCTTACATGCTACATAATGTAGTTTCGATAGATATACCAAAAGACCAACATTTGACGCACTTAACTATCAGCCACGGATGAATCAGATGATGCAAACCCGATGTCAAAATCAAAGGCAATGCATGTCAGTTCATGTTTGTTTCCGTCGTACAACCTCATTTTGAGAGAGTATGAACCCTGCATGTCCCAAATTTGGTCAGAATACAAGACGCAGCAGAAGAACACAAATATAAACATCACAAAAGAAAACTGCTGATAATAGAGAGGACATAATGACAGTGGCAATTATAATGGGGACAGGGTAATTCCAAAAGCAATTTGAGAATCGAATAGGAAACAAATCAAACACAACACAGCAGCAATTTGAATAATGACGTATAATCCAAATGCAGATTATTAGAGTATTCAAAAGTTGAAGTTTTACCATGAGCTAAACAAGAGGGATGATCCTAGTAATTTTTTAATCACAGGAATGTCTAATTTATGGAGCTTGAGATTCAATAGAATTCAAATCTCAAAATTCATATGCAACATTCAATTAACAGATCTACGATAAGTAAGCGAAACCTGAAAAAAAAATTTGGTCGAAAGAGAAACTTGAATTTAAAATGCCCAAATACAGACTGAAAATGGAAAGTAGCAGCAAAAGGCAAAGCACTTGGTTTCAGAAAAAGCACACTTCTTAGACAACTTAAGAAGATGACTATTACATGCTACTAATTACAAACTAACTGCAAACAATGAGTTCACCTACAGCTCATAGAATTGGTGCAAGGAAATTTTGTTTGTTGAAGAATATACCAAGAAGTTTTTTAGCTTGGCTATAAAGAAGTGGGTGCAATGCTGGACATGCAGAGAAAGAGGGGAAAAGATATTGTAATGCTAGAAGCCTAGAAGAAGAACAAGAATTTTGATCACAGCAGTGATGATCGATAACCTTGCTTGGTTTTATGTCCTCTTCGCACTACACAGAATACACACGAAGAAGAAGATTGGAAAACAGCAACACTTTGCAAACATGAATTCAATAAAGTGATCCATTGTGCGCCATGGTCATGGACAGTGAAATTGCACCAATGTGATAACTTAGAATAATGCATTTGGCTGTCTTCATTCACTTTCTAATGTGGCTATCTAACAGTTAATATAAACTATTTCATTGTATTCACAAAATGTGGGCGGGATCACCTTAAATTTGTATTGGATTATTTGGAAACTAAAAATTAAACTCAGTGCCTTATTCAAGTTTGTAGAGACAACTCACTAGAAACACTGAAAAACTTAAATCATACAAGTTTATTAGGCAAGGACTTACAGGTGGAGTATATCCAGGCAAATCTTGCGAGTGAGCAATCACGAAATCACCAGTTGAAACAGGGCAAGATGTTTCTGAGCAAAGGTCATGAGTCTCACTGTGGATGTGCCAACCAAAGTATGAAACCTCAATCACCAATTTTCCTCCAGAGATTGATTCACCTGTTAGCAGAACATATAGAACTCCAGTCAAAACTAAACTCCCCAAGCTCTTCGAATGATATTGGATTATCCGAGTGGTTTTTGTGTTTATCTAAAATTACATGAAAAAAAAAGAGTCACTCAAGAAGTTAAATGTTGGACTGAAGTAGAACCTGTAGTTGCAGAAATGCTGAAGCTGGCAGGCTTGCCTCTCGCCACAGGGTAAGGAATTATCTCGACTGCCTTGACCTTGACATCATAGTCAGCCTTCTTATCTGAACATATTCCAAAAACCCGCTTAAGTTTCATTGAACCAAAAGCAGTGCAACAAGCAACAAAGAAACCACAATAAAATACGACACTGAAACACCATTTGTTTGAATACATGCATACATACGATACCAAAATTTCCTAAAGAGAAACAACATTCAGATATATATTTTTTCTTCTCTTGGAAAATAAATACTACGAAAATTGCAAAATTCAACTTTGACTACGCAATATCAAAGATTTCTTCATGTTGTGTTTGTGTCAAAATAAACAGAGCCCAAATCGAATTTGACTTCAAACAATCAGTTGAAATACGGTAAAAAGTGGAAAAGTAATGATTTTCTCGGGAATCAAACAGATAAGTAAAAGCTTAATCTGCAAGCAAAGTATCATACTTTAATAAAAATTTTGAAAGGAAAAGAGCCAAGAATTAGAGAGACGAACCGCAGTAGTTAACGTCCTTGGCTTGGATGAGAGGTAGAACGAGACATAGAGATACAAGGAGGGAAGCGATGAGCTTGAACTGAGCCATATCTTCACGGATTGCTTTCCTCGATTCAAAAATAAACAATATTATCCGAAAAAAACCTGTGAGAAATTAAGGGTTTATAAAGACCAGAAGACAGAGAGACAGAGAGAGAAAGACAGGTTTTTTGATCTGTGAGAGAAAGGATTGAAGGTAGATGAGAAGAAGAATGAGTCTGAAGATGAGCGACGACTTATTGGTTAGAGACAGAGGAACGTTAGGTGGAACATAGTAAAGACTTTTCTTATTTATGGGTTTCTCCGCTGGCACCGACTTATTTAAAAACTTCCATAATTTACTTTACTAATTTACTATTGACGTAAGTAAATAATAAAATAAAACAAATTTACCTTTATATAATGAGGCCCGGCCCTGGTATGTTGCGGTAGTGTGCCAGTCCCACTTTAGCACATGGCCTTAAAAATCGTACTAGCAGCCCAATACATGATAGTTTCATTCAAGGTTTACTTGGGATTGATTTTGAATAGGGCAACAATCACTTCTATGAATAATAACCTAATGAGATCGTTTGTGACTGCTCCTCTAGAAATCACTTATGCTCATAAAAGCTTCTAGCAAAAGCCCTTTTCTAGTAAGCACTTGGAAGTGCTTTCAGAACCCACAACTATTCTTACCCTCACGTACCTTTGCACATAGAGCAAATCGCCTCCAGGATTTGAATATGTCCACGACATTCGAATTGTAGCCACACAAACAATTCGACGCCTCTTTCTCCATTCTAGGATTCGAACTTGCTTCTTGATCTTCTTCTTCACAACGTTATGTGAGAATTTTTGTATTGAATTGATGTTGGGTTAAAGGGGGCAACGACTTGGAAACCTTGGAATGCATTCCAAGGATGAGCTAGTTTTTTCTTTTCGGAAATGCCCTTCACGCGGACTAATTGGATTGTGCAGTAACGTTGGGTATTAAATTTATAAAATTTAAACCTCAAGGCCCATTTTGATATTGCACCTAAATTTCGAGGGACTAAAATGTCGCTTGTCCTATTATAAGATATGTAATTACCCATTGGTTCAACAACCGAAATTGTTTCTATAAAAAAATTAAAACTTAATTAAGCGAATAAATAGTGTACATAATTTACCACCAAATCATGGTAAATTCAAACCTCATAGCTGGTATTGACTATGAAACTATGATCTAGAAATTAATAAAAGTTAGTTCTTTGTTTTGTTATTTGACAATGTACAATTTCAAGTCTCCAATCTTGCTGGCGAACTGTTACTCATTAGGCGAGCTGAAAGTATTGGGCTTTGAAATTAGGAAATGTAATTTTGAGGCCTTATTCGTTTTGAGACTTCCAAAGAAATCTCTTTGGTCTCAAGCTGCCGCCTCCTCCATCTTCTGAACCCAAGCTAAACCTTAGTCTTCCGACGACGACGACAACGACAGCGGTGATCTATCTTAAAGTGGTAAGCCCCAGTCGCTTACTCTCACACTCAAACATGTATATGTAGGAATTTTAATGCTCACCAAGATTCATTTCAGATTTTGTTTTTCACCCCGCCTCCTCCCTCCTCTCCCCCCCTCTCTCTCTCCCTCTCTCTGGCTCTGGTTTTCCATCGGTATGAAAACTTCTGAAAATTTCTATAGTTTTGATGTTATTTATTTGTTTTTGACCGTTTTAATGCGTTGATGTTTCCGATTTAGGGGTTTTGGACTGTTTGAATTTGATTCATGTCATTCACCTTTCTGTTTTTTCATCTGGGTTTTTTTTTGGGTATGTTGATAGTCCTCTTTTATTGAAAATTCAATGTATGAAGGAAATTATTATGGAAATGAAAAAACCCTTGACACACACGCAGTAATTTGGACTGTGTTGTGTTGTGAGACTGCTGCTGCCATCTTTCCTGCAACTTAGACTTATGATAAAAACATATCCATTTCTCTCGTATTGTGAGCTTGGTATTCTCATGTTGATGTATGGTTATATGAAGTATGGTTTGTTTCCAGTTGTTTCTCATTGCATTGATGATTGTAGTATTGTTTCCTTTATTCCCAAGTGTAGGCTACACATATCGAATAGTGTGGATGTAAAATGTTTATGAGTTATTTTTTATTTTTTATTTTTTCATAACCTATATATAGTTGCTTTGGAGCATAGGTTATGATAAATAGGCCTGAATTTGTGTGAGATCCATAAAATGTTAATTATTCTGTTTCCAGAATGCTTACTGGGTGGGTGTTTTCAGGAGCATTTACTTAAATGGAAGCCAAATTTTTTCGCTTTCTTAAGATTGTGGGTGTGGGCTACAAAGCAGGGCTGAAGCTGAAGGACGCCTGTTGCTTCTGAAATTGGGTTACAGTCATGAGGTTGAGTTGACCGTTCCCCCTGCTGTTCGTGTTTTCTGCTTCAAGAACAATGTCGTTTGCTGCACTGGAATTGATAAAGATAGGGTGCACCAGTTTGCTGCTTCCGTGCGTAGTTGTAAGCCACCTGAAGTTTACAAAGGCAAGGGAATAATGTACGTTGATGAAGTTATTAAGAAGAAGCAAGGAAAGAAGTCTAAGTGATTGGATGTCTCAAAGCTTATCTATGGGTGGAAATTGGTAATCTTTCTTTTTGCGTTCTGGTTGTAATCAGAAAATAACAGTAGTCTGGGGTTTGCTTTCAAACTATTGTCTTTTTAATATAGGTTTCTTAGTTGATCCCTTATCCTCATTTAGGTTTCGTAGTCTCTACTTTTGGGGCTTTCCTGAATGGACTATGGAGTTCAGGTTTCTCCTACTTCAGAACCATAGTGGAGACGAAGTTAACCTCTGAACACATTAAATTTTAGATGTTAAACTGAAGGATTCACTGATGATTATTCTTGGACAGGACTAGCCTATGATTTAAGAATCTTGGCTTAAAAATTGCATGTCTATGCTGTAATTGTCGCTCAACTGGTAAGGAATGAGGTGGGTGAAGGTCTAAATTTTCTTATTTCTACTGAGGGACAATAATAATTGTTGTAAGGTGTACACGTTCTGAAAATATTGAAGTTACAATTTCTGTTATAAATTTGCATCAGAACTCTGATCATTTGTTGAACGGTGACTCATTGACTAAATATGAGTCCGTTGTGTACAAAGACACACCATATGTCCTTATTTAAATGGAAAATTTGCTTGAAACTCTGGTGGTTTCATGTAGCTACAATCAATACTTGGATAATTGTTTGAATACTATTTTGTATATTTGGAAGTTGATGAATATAGACTTGGTATGATTCAACAATATTTGAAAATTTGTTTTGGCCATTTTCGGTTTTATTATGTTTATTTGGGGTTTTATATCCTCATTTGTTCCTGTGAATTGGGTGATTTGCTTCTAAGATTGAAAACGATGTCGCTTTGGATTTTGGAGATGTGAGATGAAGATGGTTGATTAAATTTAATGGTATATGGAAGATGGTTTCACTCTCTCTCATTCTTTTTTTCTTACTTGGAGTAGCTTGATGGTGCTAGAGGGAAGAAAACTATTTCATGGTTATCATTTTTTCAACTGGAATATAATTGGGACTACACGAACTCTTTCCTTTTGATAAGAATCTATGTGGTTAATTATTCATTTCTTTTGTCATGAAAGTTGACTGATTCTTTTGTTGATTCTGCTGGTTATCCTAGGGGATGGGAAATCATTTCTTTTGATAGGCCCCAGTTCACAAGACGAATTTGAGGGGAAATTACTTCCTATGTCATTTTTCAAGGATAGAAAATGAATCATGTTTGGCAGTGCTAGGAAAGTAACCGGGAGATATCACTCATGTTTGTTTTGAGTAAGAATGGAAAACAAAGTTTGTATACTTTTCCCATTATACCCATATTAAATATATATATATATATATAAAAGAATACATTAAATGATATATATTGTAATTCTAAATTGTTAGTGGTGACAAAATAGTCATAAAAAATATGCATTTAATGTTGGCTTATTTTCCCAAATTTTCTCATGAGGACCGAAAACAAAACCCAAAGGGGATGAGGGCTTTACTTTCCCCCATACTTTCCCATGAACTATGCAACTATTTCCTATACTTGGACTTACCAAACATGAGAAAACAATTGATTTTACATTCTCAAGCCTCCTTTCTCATGAACCAAATGGGGCCTGAATGTTTTATTTTATTCGGTATGGATTTATTGGATGGTGATGCTTGTATCTGGTTTTCAAACAAAATGGGTGATTTTGGATTCTGGGTATTTTGGTCTTTGAGTTTTCATTGAAAATGGTAATGGTGTGCATGTGTTTTGGTTTTGGTTGATAGTCTGGTAGAGTATGTATACTATGTTGAAAATTGAAGAATCGGAACAATAATTAGGTATGGGTTTGGCTCCGTCAACTAAACTAATGTTTAATCCACTAACATATCTAAGAATGACTGAGATTAGAATTTTTTTAACTAATTCTTAATACAAATCCTTATTTGAGAAGTATTTTGTATAACTTTTTGATGCTTGAGCATTTTGTTTGCGTTCAAATTTGACATCTAATTTATAAAACAATAAAAATTAAAGATTCAATGAATAAAGTTCAGATTTTTTTTTAACTTCCCTATTTGTGATCAATGAGCTACACACATGAGATGATGTTTCTTATTTCATTACCCTTCTCAACCCCATTGTTTCTCATTGCATGACCCTCTTCGTCCCCAATTTTTCTCAAGGAAAATTCTTGGTTCCGCACGTGCAAGGACGCATTTCACTTTACAAGCAACTGACAATCTAACATACGCACATAAGCTTTTATTGATGAGTCAATTTTGTATGTGTTAGATTGTGATTGTGATTTAAGGGTGAATGACTCTTACCAGTAAGCATTAAGGCTTCAGTTATAAAACCTTATAAGGAATTTTTTTTGAGCAAGCTGGTTTTGATTTTGAACTTGGATTTTATTTTTCAAAAACTGGATAAATTCAAGACAATTAATAACTAATTGGTTGATTTTTTAAAGCCTGTGCAAGACTGTGACATGTCCTCCAAGAAAATAGGTTTATCTTTTGATTTTCCATTGGACTAAATCTCAAGCAAGGTAAGATGCAAACTAAAAGTTACACATCTCCCACACTAAATAGACTGAACAGAGTAAACAGACAGAACCAAAGAAAACATCCCCTGTTAAATACACATATTCTTAAAAAAAAAAACAATACCTTTTTCTTTTTTAAAGGAAAAGAAAAGGATAAATTCCTACTAGTGGTTGAGTTCAAGAATCTTCGTTGTCAAGCAGCAATCAAAGCGACTTCTTTAAACTCCAATATTCTTTCTCTTTTAGACTGGCGTGTGTGTGAGCTTCTTTGTAGAAGAAGACGAAGACACAACAACTTGAACAAAATTACTATAAAAATTCTAAATCCCATTACCTATAAAAGCAAGAATGCATCAGGGATGTTTTACTGAGAGAGCGAGCTTCCTTCCTTTCTGTCTGTCTCTCTTTCTTGTTGCTATTAACAGCTACTTCTACATTTCTCTCTCTTCACAGCCATTGATTTGCTTATCCGTGCAGAATTCGCAGTTCATCCTTTCCTCTTTTTTTTATATTTCATACAAATAATACTGTGGAGGGTGGATTCTAACACATGCTCTCGGTGACAAGGATAACTTCTCTTAACCACTTGAGCTGAATTCTTTCGCAATTCCCAGTTCATCCTTAATTTAGGTAATGTACGGAAACACTCTTGTGATTGGTTCATCCTTAATATATATATACACGTACATATTTCATTTGTTTTTAATTTTGTGATTGGTTAATGAACGACCTGACCAACTTATTAGTGATAGAAAGAGAGATGGCTGAGGAGCAAATTCAACATTTCAGTCACAAGCATCCATTGATATTCAAGAAGGAGCAGAACGACAGTGGCTTGGTTTTTTGCTCAGTGTGCGAGGACCCAGTGCTTGGCTCAAGCTACACTTGCAACCAATGCAGCCCGGCCTTCATTCTCCATAAATCTTGTGCAGATAAAATAACTCGTGAGATAGACAACCCGATCCACCCCAAACACCCACTTAGTCTCCAACCACCCCAAAATGGCAACTTCTGTAGTGACTGTAACCAACCATGCAGCGGCTTCATCTACTATTGTCGTGTCTGTAAATTCGGAATAGACCTCAAATGCGCTTCAAAGTGGAAAAACTACTGTCATGACCACAAATTCACCGTCCTGAAGAACCGTACTATTAAATTCACTTGTGATGTCTGTGGCAAAAATGGCGACGTCGACTTATACCTCTGTGGCATCTGCCAGCTCATGGTGCATAAGCAATGTTCTTGGCTACCACTCCATGTCAAAATAGGATACCACAATCACAGACTCAAGCTCACCTGGAGCTTTGAAGACACTTACCCCAAAAACCAACGTTTCTGCTCCGTTTGCAATGGACTCATGGACCAAAGCCGCGCTGTTTATTATTGTCATGAATGTCGCAGTTATGTTGCCCACAATACATGCGCCATAAAAAATGCTCAAATCACTGACGCCACCAAGACCACTCCCGACGACAACTCCAAACATAAGAACAACCAAACAAAATCAGAACCAGCTGCGCAGATCAATCATTTTAGTCATCAACATCGCTTAACCCTCATCACTGATCATCATGAGGTAGATAAAGATAAAGATGATGATCACCTTGATGATAGAATAAATACTTGTAATGGTTGCATGCGGCCCATCACTACTACAGATGCCTTTTATAGATGTGCAGGACAAGAAGAGTCGTCATGTCATTTCTTTCTCCACTTAATTTGTGCCCAATTCGATCGAAAGAGGCATTTTGAACTTCACAGGAAGCACGAGCTCACACTCCTTCCGAGGGCTCCTTCTATTGATGGCGTTTTTAGGTGTTACATGTGCAATACTTTTAGCCAAGGCTTCGGATACTACTGTGATAATAGGGACGTCTGTGACGTCTACATTATCAAGGAGGAAGGCTTCTACCTTGACCTTCACTGCAGTATTCTTTGGGAATATAATAAGTCTCTTAAACATGAGGCACATCATCATGACCTCTACTTCAAAATAAAACGGGGTAGAAGTTCTAATCAATGTAAGGGTTGTGGTGCTTCTAAGCACATTGGTTGGTTCAGTTGTACTATTTTGGCATGCAACTTCAACCTTTGTATTCCATGTGTTAAATTACCTCTCACAGCCCAGCACAGATACGACGATCACCATCTCAAGCTCACCTATAGTGTTACAGACATGCTAGCTGAACATTATTGTGAAATATGCGAAGGACCACGAGATCCGAAATATTGGTTCTACTCCTGCTCAGATTGCGACTTTCATTGCCATCCTCATTGCATTCTAGGGAGGTATCCGCAAGTCAAGTTAGGGGGAGCTTATAAGCACGACGCTCACCCACACACTGTTACTCTTGTTTATAAGGAAAGGAGTGTCATTCCTTCTGATAAAAGGGAGCACATTCTTGATTGTCAAGAATGTGGTAAACCATGTGAAGGGTTGGTCTGGGAATGTTCCGAGTGTAATGCCAATATCCACCGAAAAGGTTACTGTATATCCCACTAAAGAAGACAAAAGTGTCTCTGATTTGAATTCTGATTTAAGGTTAAAGTCTTAAGGTTTTCAAAAATGGATAGAGAGAGATGGCTGAGAAGCAAATTCTAAATTTCAGTGACGAGCTTCCATTGATGTTCAAGGAAGAGTAGAAGAAGGATGGTCCCTTGGTTTTTTGCTTAGCGTGTAAGGACCCAGTGCTTGGCCCAAGCTACACTTGCAAACAATGGCTCTCTTTTTTTTTTTCCTTTTTTTTTTCTTCTTTGCAAACAATGTCTATTTGAATCTATTTTATGTTTGTATGGTGTGTACACAATCTCGGCCATCTCTCTGTCTTAAGTTTGACTCAGGTAAGAAGTACATGCATGTAACTAATGGTGGTCTCACATGAACGATTCTACACACTTGCAACACAAAAACCTCTTATCTTGTTTCTCATAATTTCAACAAAATAATGGAAAATTGGGTAAAAGAGGGATTGAGGACATTTTCGCTAACTCTTTAATAAAAGGGAGAAGGTGAATTTGACCCAAAAAAAATGGAACGCATAGGAGCGGCAAAAATGTCCTCTACTATGACCAAAATAAAACGAAACGACTAAGTTTCTTGGAAACCGGTGTGGTGTTTGTCAAAGAGGCTCTATTGCCCAAGTTAGAGTTTGAGAAATACAGGAGTTGAAGTTACGTGACTTCAAATCATGTAACTCAAATAGTTGAAGGATTTTTGGATATATCATATATGTGTCTTCTCTTACCATAAACTGTCAATTATCATGGATACATAATCTATTTATAGTAAATTTTGAAGTAACTTATGTTAGAGAAGAAATATGTGCCGGCAGGTTTCGCAAGTTGACTTTGGATGTCTTGAGGCTATTAATTGGATTCAAACGACTCTAATGTTTTGTTAGGTGAAGTTAATGTCTCTAGTTTGATTCTACATGATTTGAAGTAAATTGGACTGATAAAGAAATTGTGATAATTTTTCAAGTGAACCTCGTTGATGGAACCATGTTTGGCAGATTTGTAGTTGTTTTTGCGAACTAAATAATTATACTAGAAAAAAAATGTTAAACATGGATATCTTCTTGTATACGCAATCTTGGTCACCACCTCTTCGCCTCAAGTCATCAGCATATCAACTAATGAAAGCCAAGACATTGGTGAATGCCGAAGGTATGGTTAGCAACTAGACAAAGACTAAACAAAAGCTTTGGGCTGCGACCAGTGGCAGAGCCAGGAATCTTACCACAAGGGGTTTTAGTGTAAAAGTCCAAATAAAAATTTAGGATGGAAAAACATATTGAAAATGAAATCATAGTACTTTCATTCATAATTCATAACGGAAACAATATTACAAGCTATAATTGTCCACGATGAGGTTTCATATTTTGAAAACGAAGCATTATAGCTTCATTTTCAATACAAGCAAAAATATATCTCTCAATATAAACAAGCACGCTATCACTCAACCATTTATCTCCCATTTTGTTCATAAGTGGACCCTTAACAATATTCATGACAGAAAAAGCTCTCTCCACTGAAGCAGTTGCAACCGGTAAAACTGAAGACAATGTAATGAGCAAATACACATAATTGAATACTTGATGCATCCTTGTTTCCTCCATTTTTTTTTGCAAGATCACCAATCCCTTCCAATTGAGAGAAATCACTACTGGAACGCACATAATGGATATAAATCTCAAGTTGATCTTTATTCGAAAAGTCTTGAGGATAAAATTGAGTAAGATGAAGTAACTTTGATTTATCAAAAGCTACAAATGAATCTTTTGGAGTCAAACATGCCAAACAAATAAGCAATTCGGTATTAACCTCATTAAAGCGATCCTCTAACTCCGTAATTTGCTCATCAATGACATAAATAAAGAGCTTCACACGATAATGATGACGATTTGTCTTTATTGGAGCACGCCTTGACCTCCCTGGAAGTATAAATGCCTCTTTTATGTTAGGAACATCAATATGATGCTTCTCACAAAAAGAAGATACTTCATTAACCAATGCATCGAACCCATTATTCCTCATCCAATGTAGCCTTTCATTGCATGATTTCACTAAAGCTATTGCATTCACAATTTCTTGATCTTTCCTTTGCAATGATTGTGACAAATTATTTGTGAGTCATAATATGTATTTTATCAAGAAAAGGTGAAATAAAACTCAAAAGTACGTATTTCTCTCATTAACTTATTTGCTTCACTCGCACTTTCATTGGGATTATCATCAATAACCATTTGAAGCACATGAAACACGGATGAAAACATAAAAATGATGCTAATCAAGGTACCATAGTGTGGGTTCCATTGTGTGTCACCGGCACATTTGAGACTTGTTTCTTGATTTAAGCCTCGCCCCGTTATAAGGCAATCATTTTCAAAAGCTATCACAAGCTCTTCTTGGACTTGTCCTCTAAGTAAATCACGCCGCTTACAAGATGCTCCAACATGATTAACCACACTATTAACCGTTGCAACAAAAAAAAAGAGGCAATGTCTATTCTTCTTTGTTACGGCAACAAGAGCTAGTTAAAGTTGACGAGCAAAGCAATGAACATAATATGCACAAGGTTGTTCTCTCAATATCTTTGTTTTAAGGCCATTCAACTCACCTCTCATATTGCTAGCACCATCATAACCTTGTCATCGTAGCTTGGAAAGGCTCAAAATGTTGCGAGAAACGAATGTATCAATAGCATCCTTTAGTAAACTTGAAGTAGTGTCAGTAACATGTTGGATACCCATAAATCTTTCAATTACATGCCCTTTGTCATCCACATAACGCAACACCATAGCCATTTTCTCTTTCACCGACACATCACGTGCTTCATCTACCAATATTGAAAAGAATCTATCTTTTAGACCATCCATGACATCATCAAGTGTTTCAAGGGCACATGAATTCACAATTTCTTTTTGAATGCATGGAGCTAGTAATTTGAGATTCCCCGGAGCTTTTGCCATCACAACTTCTTTAACTTTATCATCATTATCTGCAAGGAATTGCAATAGCTCCAAGTAATTTTCCCTATTGCTTGAAGTGACACTTTCATCATGGCCACAAAAAGCAAGACATTGTCGCAATAAAAACTTAGTGCACTTGATTGATGCATTCAAGCATGTGCAATAAGCCTTACGAGCTTGGTCGGAGTGTTTGCTCACTGCCATTTCAATATGTGTATTTTGATTCATCAACTTTGTAGCAACTTTTCTAGCCTTATTATGAACACTCCCAACCGGTCCAACATGCATCTTAAATCTTTCTTTCCTTTTCTTCCAATTATTAAATCCATCTCTAGTGAAAGCTTCACTACCCACTTGTTCAAAATTGGTTTTAAAGAGATAGCAATAGAGACAAAACGCCGCATCTTTAGATATACTATACTCCAACCAATCAAACTCATCAAACCATTGGGGGATGAAGCGTCGATTAATTCCTGTCATATTAGTTATTGGGAAATTATGACGTCTAGGTTGACAAGGTCCTTTTTGTAGATATGATCTTCAGACCTCATCTCTCATATTAGCATCATAATCTATCATTCGAGTTCTTAATCTAGGGTCCGCTTGAAGATTACCCAAAACACCATCTAACTGACTTTCTCTTGAACTTGGAGTTCTTGAACTACCAACATTATTTGAACTATCAACATTAGCCGAACTACCCAAATCCGATGATGACTTTCTCTTAAAAAACCATTCCATAATAATTCTACATATACAAAATAATCAAAATAAATACTCACAATATAAACAAACCATCAACATAATCAAAATACATATGAATTGGATTTCAATGAAATTAAATATATTCTACATATACAAAATAATGAAAATAAAAACTCACAATATAAACAAACCATCAATATAATCAAAATAAATATGAATTGAATTTCAATTAAATTAAATATATTCTACATATACAAAATAATGAAAATAAAAACTCACAATATAATTAAACCACCAATATAATCAAAATAAATATGAATTAGGTTTCAATTAAATTAATTATATCATACATAGTAACATAGGGTTTAGAACTTACTCGAATTGTGAAATTTCACAATAACAATGAGCAAATTTAAAGAGAGTAGCTGGCGGCACCACCACAACGATGACGACAGCAGCACAAAGGCACCTCAATGGCGGCAGGAAGGAGAGGAGATGGAGTTGAGGGTTTGGGGGGGGGGGGGGGGGGGGGGGGGGGGGGGGGGGGGGGAGGGTTGGTTGGGAACTTAGGGTTGGAGGAGGAGAAAACAAAAGAAAATTGGGGGTTTTGGAAAGAAGGAATCGGGTCTGTGGAGAAGCAATGGCTGGAGGATATGCTGGTCATTATTTTTTTTCTTCAGGCCTGGCAAAAAACGACGTTGTTTTGGCAAGGTCATTTAAAAAAAATTTCCTGGGGCAAAACGAAGTCGTTTTGCCCAGGTTGTTTTAAAAACAAAACTCGCGTGCCAGCTAGCCTTCTTCTTCTTCAGCCTGCGAACCTTCCTTTTTTTTTTTCAGACATTTCGTCGACCACTTGGTGTGCAGCTCCAGGAGGTCGCACTAGCAGCTCCAAGAGACCTCTAAGCTTATTTCTATGGCTTCCAAGAGGTCGTGCAACCCCATTGACCCCAATGTGGCTTCGCCTCTGGCTACGACATGTCTCCTAAAATTTCAGTTCTATATTGCATTAGAATATATTATTAAAAGAAACTGATGTCAAATCCCACAAGCTTTGTATAACTAAGGCGTGTATAATCTCTAGCAAGGCTCAGATATAAGTTCCCGACATCTTCTGAGGCATCTCTCATTTGCGCTATAGATTTTGTTGGCTAATGGAAAAAAAAAAAAAAAAAAAAAAAAAAAAAAAAACCCACCCAACAAAAAAACTAAAAAACGAAATTAGACGAAGAAACACACTCATAGAAAAGAAGGCTGTCAAAAGCGAAACTCATTATTTTACCATATATTCTGATCTGCTAGCTATATGGCACACAATGTGGCCCTTTTAACGTGTGCTATCATATGCCATTCAATTATACTAGCTGCAAACACTACACATATACAAAAGCAAAAGAAAATGATACAGCAGTGCTAAACTTTAGTATTTAACATGTTTGTAATCCAAGACACCGGTTTTGACTAGACTCCTACCCTATATGCATTTCATTGTTTGTCCTTCTAAGCACTTCAACAGCCATAATGTATACTCTTCTCGTGGGATAATAGTAGTGTTCCGGTTGCACTAAACCATCTAAAGGTTCTTCACAATAACCACTGCATGGTATTTCAAAAGTTTGGTCCAAGTGACAAAATGCTTGTAAGTTCTCGATGTGGTAGTCCAAGCAGAGGCGGAGCCACAGTGGGGTCAATGGGGTCGCATGACCTCTTGGAAGCCATGGAAATAAGCTTAGAGGTCCCCTGGAGCTGCTGGTGCGACCTCTTGGAGATGCACACCAAGTGGTCGACGAAATGTCTGAAAGAAAAAGGAAGGTTCGCAGGCTGAAGAAGAAGAAGGCTAGCTGGCGTGCGAGTTTTGTTTTTAAAACAACCTGGGCAAAACGACGTTGTTTTGGGCCAGGTCTGAAGAAAAAAAATAATGACCAGCGTATCCTCCAGCCATTGCTTCTCCACAAACCCAATTCCTCCTTTCCAAAACCCCAAATTTTCTTTTGTTTTCTCCTCTTCCAACCCTAAGTTCCCAACTCAATCCCCCTCCCCCCCCCCGCCAAAAAAAAACCCTCAACTCTATCTCCTCATTTGCTGTCGTCATCATTGTGGTGGTGCCGCCAACTACTCTCTTTGTATTTGCTCATTGTTATTGTGAAATTTCACAATTCAAGTAAGTTCTAAACCCTATGTTACTATGTATGATATAATTAATTTAATTGAAACCTAATTCATATTTATTTTGATTATATTGGTGGTTTGATTATATTGTGAGTTTTTATTTTCATTATTTTGTATATGTAGAATATATTTAATTTAATTGAAATTCAATTCATATTTATTTTGATTATATTGATGGTTTGTTTATATTGTGAGTTTTTGTTTTCATTATTTTGTATACGTAGAATATATTTAATTTAATTAAAATCCAATTCATATGTATTTTGATTATGTTGATGGTTTGTTTATATTGTGAGTATTTATTTTGATTATTTTGTATATGTAGAATTATTATGGAACGGTTTTTTTAAGAGAAAGTCATCATCGAGTTCGAGTAGTTCGGCTAATGTTGATTGTTCAAATAATGTTGGTAGTTCAAGAACTCCAAGTTCAAGAGAAAGTCAGTTAGATGGTGTTTTGGGTAATCTTCAAGCAGACCCTGGATTAAGAACTCAAATGATAGATTATGATGCTAATATGAGAGATGAGGTCCGAAGATCATATTTACAAAAAGGACATTGTCAACCTAGACGTCATAATTTCCCAATAACTAATATGACAGGAATTAATCGACTCTTCATCCCCCAATGGTTTGATGAGTTTGATTGGTTGTAATATAGTATATCTAAAGATGCGGTATTTTGTCTCTATTGCTATCTCTTTAAAACTAATTTTGAACAAGTGGGTAATGAAGCTTTCCCTGGAGATGGATTTAAGAATTGGAAGAAAGGGAAAGAAAGATTTAAGATGCATGTTGGACCAGTTGGGAGTGTTCATAATAAGGCTAGAAAAGCTGCTACAAAGTTGATGAATCAAAATACACATGTTGAAATGGCAGTAAGCAAACATTCTGACCAAGTTCATAATAAGGCTAGAAAAGCTACTACAAAGTTGATGAATCAAAATACACATATTGAAATGGCAGTGAGCAAACACTCCGACCAAGCTCGTAAGGCTTATTGCACATGCTTGAATGCATCAATCAAGTGCACTAAGTTTTTATTGCGACAATGTCTTGCTTTTCGTGGCCATGATGAAAGTGTCACTTCAAGCAATAGGGGAAATTACTTGGAGCTATTGCAGTTCCTTGCAGATAATGATGATAAAGTTAAAGAAGTTGTGATGGAAAATGCTCCGGGGAATCTCAAATTACTAGCTCCATGCATTCAAAAAGAAATTGTGAATTCATGTGCCCTTGAAACACTTGATGCTGTCATGGATGGTCTAAAAGATAGATTCTTTTCAATATTGGTGGATGAAGCACGTGGTGTGTCGGTGAAAGAGCAAATGGCTATGGTGTTGCGTTATGTGGATGACAAAGGGCATGTAATTGAAAGATTTATGGGTATCCAACATGTTACTGACATTACTTCAAGTTCACTAAAGGATGTTATTGATACATTCGTTTCTCCCAACGGTTTGAACCTTTCCAAGCTACGAGGACAAAGTTATGATGGTGCTAGCAATATGATAGGTGAGTTGAATGGCCTTAAAACAAAGATATTGAGAGAACAACCTTGTGCATATTATGTTCATTGCGTTGCTCATCAACTTCAACTAGCTCTTGTTGCCGTAGCAAAGAAGAATAGATATTGCCTATTTTTTTTGCAACGGCTAATAGTGTGGTTAATCATGTTGGAGCATCTTGTAAGCGGCGTGATTTACTTAGAGGACAACTCTAAGAAGAGCTTGTGATAGCTTTTGAAAACGATTGTTTTATACTTAAATCAAGAAACAAGTCTCAAACGTGCCGGTGACACATGATGGAACTCACACTATGGTACCTTGATTAGCATCATTTCTATGTTTTCATCCGTGGTTCATGTGCCTCAAATGGTTATTGATGATAATCCCAATGAAAGTGCGGGTGTAGCAAATAAGTTAATGAGAGAAATACGTACTTTTGAGTTTGTGTTTCACCTTTTCTTGATAAAAGTCATATTAGGACTCACAAATGATTTGTCACAAGCATTGCAAAGGAAAGATCAAGAAATTGTGAATGCAATGGCTTTAGTGAAATTATGCAAGGAAAAGCTACATTAGATGAGGAATATGGGTTCGATGCATTGGTTAATGAAGTATCTTCTTTTTGTGAGAAGCATCATATTGATGTTCCTAATATGGAAGAGGCATTTATACTTCCAGGGAGATCAAGGCGTAATGCTCCAATAAGGACAAATCGTCATCATTATCGTGTGAAGCTCTTTATTTACGTCATTGATGAGCAAATTACGGAGTTAGATGATCGCTTTAATGAGGTAAATACCAAATTGCTTATTTGTTTGGCATGTTTGACTCCGAAAGATTCATTTGTAGCTTTCAATAAATCAAAGTTACTTCGTCTTGCTCAATTTTATCCTCAAGACTTTTCGGATGAAGATCAAGTTGAGATTTATATCCATTATGTGCGTTCTAGTTGTGATTTCTCAATTGAAGGAAGGTGATCTGGTGCAAAAAAAAAAAAAAAAAAAAAAAAAAAAAAAAAAAAAAAAAAAAAAAGGGGGTGGGTGGGGGGGTGGGGGGGAGAGAAACAAAAGCATGCAAGTATTCAATTATGTGTATTTGCTCATTACATTGTCTTTAGTTTTACCGGTTACAACTGCTTCAATGGAGAGAGCTTTTTCTGTCATGAATATTGTTAAGGGTCCACTTATGAACAAAATGGGAGATCAATGGTTGAGTGATAGCTTGCTTGTTTATATTGAGAGAGATTTTTTTGCTTGTATAGCTTCATTTTCAAAATATGAAACCTCGTCGTGAACAATTATAGAATGTAATATTGTTTCTGTTATGAATTATGAATGAAAATACTATGATTTCATTTTCAATATGTTTTTCCATCCTAAATTTTTATTTGGACTTCTACACTAAGATCCCTTGTGGTAAGATTCCTGGCTCCGCCATTGAGTCCAAGTAAGGAATACTTTGTTTCGTATAGATTGGAGACAAACGTATGTTCAATTGGCTTGTGTAAGATCAAACCTAAACTTCACATAACATAGGATCCCAAATACACTCAACACAACTGCACATAACATAGGATCCTGAATACACTCAACAAAAGTGAAATTGCTCAGATGCCAATTTGTTACCTAAGCTTCAGCTTTATTTGGATTACCAAAACAGGTGCACACATGATATCGTGTTTAGATCCCCTCTGCATGTGCAGAGTATTTGATCAACATCATCATTATTTCCAAGGGAATGTAGAGACCAATTTCATTCAGGCACCTAACCCAATCTATTCCTCAAATAGGAACCAAAAAGGGGATGCATATAGATTTCTGTTTTGAAAATGTTTGTTTTCCATATTTGTCAGAACATCAGGAGAATGACTATCAATCTCCCTTACCTATATATTTTAATCATTCAGCCATGTAAATGAAATCCATGACTCTAGCACTGGCAACTTTGAACTCACCTGGGTTTTCCCTGGTTGAGTATTTGAGTCTCCTCAATTATCATCTGCTACAAGAGCCAATACCAAACACATCTGTTCACATGTTCATAAGAAGTAATTAGTCTCTGATCTAATCCATTTGCTGTTAGAGAATTCAAGATTATACCATGGAAACCAACTACAAGGGCCATATCTTTAGCTCACATGTTCAAGTAATGCGCAACAAAATCCAGTGAACACTTGTAATCCATTGTGAAGGCCATTATCTTTATTCAAGACTTCAGGTCTGTGGGTTTATTTCCACGTATAAAAGCCTTCAGTTTCATTTTGTGTGCTGCCTGAATCGAAGCACCATTGTATTCTGCTGGTGGAATTCGGATAATTGGAAAGCATATATACTCCTCCGTGCCCAAATCTATTTTCCTTTTCAGGAAAGAGAAATGAAGAATGAAAAATGAAGGCAACCTCATCTAAGTTCAAGTAAAATGAAGGCTGTCAGAGAATTTTTTTTAGGGCTAACAAAAATGTCTGTGGCTAGTAACAGAAGCAAATAGCATGGCACAAGCGAATATTTCAAAACCTCACAATCAAAATCATCCGTTTGCAAAAGAAAGAATTTAGAATTCATAGAAATGTAAAACATATAATGAAGGCAATTTAAGGAATGATAGGTGAACCAACAAGGCCTTTCTCCATGCTTCTGATTTATCCATTGATGGCAAAGAAGGTGTGCAACTATCACACCGGCAAAACTGAACTCATTTGCACTGAACACCAGCTTCAGCAGCTCGGTGAGCTATATATATGAGATGTTGTTTCTTATGCCATTACCCTTTTCAATCTCATTGTTTCTCATCGCCTAACCCTTTTCATCCCTAATTTTCTCAAGGAAAAATCTTGGTTCTGTACATGCAACGACTCATTCCACTTTATAGACAACTGACAATCTGACATGCGAACATAAGCTTTTATTGACGAGTCAATTTTGTATGTGTCGGATTGTGATTGTGATTTAAGGGTGAATGACTTTTACCATTAAGTATTAAGGGTTCGGTTATAAAACCTTACAAGGAAATTTTTTTTGAGCAAGCTGGTTTTGATTTTGAAGTTGGAATTTTTTTTTTCTTTCAAAAACTGGATAAATTCAAGAAAATTAATAGCTAATTGGTTGATTTCATAAAATTTCTTAACTCATTTAAATCACATGACCGGGGGTTTTGGGCTACACATAGCCCATCTACAGCTGGGCCAGGCTCATATAATGAAGGAAACATTTTTGGGCACAAAAGAAATAAAGAAACTATGGCCACGTCTGAATCTTCCGTGATTTAAATACCCCTAAAACCCCTGAAGAACCAGAGTCGTCACCTGTTAGCTTATTTCACTCCGCGCTTCGACTCTTCCTCCCATTCACGCCATCCTCGCTCGCCATTTCTCCCATTCAACCCATCATCCCATCTTCAGGTATAACTCTCTCTCTTGATGGTACGTTTCAGTTGATCCCAGTTCTTTATTTTTTTTTGAAAAAAAAATATTTAGACATTTGATTGTTTTTCCTGGTTTCGTTTTTTATTTTCGAATCAAAGCGCTCTCTCTGTACTAGCTGTTACGTCGTACGTGTCTTAGTTTGTATTCAAGTTAAGGTTTTGCCCTCAGCTCAAGTTTCGTTATTTTCTTTGGCGGGCTAGCGTTCTGTGGGTTTTCAATGTGGTTTTCAGTTTTGTATTTTTCGGATTCTATATGATTGTTTCTATGGGTTTTTTTAGATGACTTTATGATCTGGGTTTGACTTTAAGAAAAATATATTTTATTTTAATTTTGATAAATGGGTATCATTCATATATAATTTGTATGCAGGGATATTTAAAAGGTGATTACCAATTAGGGTTTTGAGGTTTCGCATATCAATTTTGATGGGGTTGGTTTGTCTTGAAAGTTTTTATATACGAAAAAAATTGTTTTGATATGCTTTCTCTCCTGTGCTGTGTTGTTTAGTTTTCTGCTGCTTATTCTGAGCGTATGTCTAATAATGTTGGAGTACAGGGTCTTCATTGCGCATCCAAATGTCTTTTGATCTCAACAACAAACATTCATCAATTATTGGACAGTTTTATTTTATGAACCGAGGGAGGCTGTGGTGTTCGCGCAGAATCTTGTTCCGGCACTGGACTTGACCTAGTTGTGTTTTGGGAGGGGCGTTGTTTATAATTGTGTTCTTTTTGTAACCTCTGCTTTACTTGCTGTTTACTTTTAAGAGACATTATTTTCTTCGCATATTGTGAGGAATTTCTACATTGGGGATTTAAGGCTATTGTTAGATAGTTAAGACTTTACATTTGGATTTTGTGATGAGGAAAGCACCGTTCCCTCCTGGTTTCCGGTTTTCTCCAACTGATGTGGAACTTGTACAATATTATTTGAAGAGGAAGGTAATGGGGAAAAGGCTCCATTTTAACTTCATTGCAGAGGTCGACATTCACAAGTATGCTCCCTGGGATCTTCCAGGTATATGTCATTCTAATTTCTCTTCCTTGTTTTCTTCACTGTCATTGACCTTGTCATTCTAATTAACATTGGCTTTCCTTCTTTGTCTCATGTAGTTTCTGATTGTGTTGTGCCTTATATTTTCAGGAAAATCTTGTTGGCAAGGTGATCTAAAATGGTACTTCTTTTGTCCGACATCAAGGAAGTATCCAACTGGGGCTAGAGTGAAACGTGCCAACGAATGCGGTTACTGGAAGGCCACGGGAAAGGATAGATCTGTTCTTTACAATGGAGAAGTTTCCGGGTGGATAAGAACATTGATCTTTCATACAGGTCGAGCTCCAAAAGGAGAAAGAACAGATTGGGTTATGCATGAGTATAGGCTTGAAGCTAAGAACCTGGCTGATAGTGATGTGCTCCTGGTAAATGACACTCTTCCTCTCACTATTTTGTATTCTTCTTTGGTTTTAATAAAATTAGTCCTACACTCTGAAATGATTTAGTATTGTACTCTCCTTTTTTAAAGCTTGTTATTCTTTAATGTTTCATATGATTAGAATTTTTTCATGCTGCTGAATTGGACTGATAATGTTAGTTTTCCTTACTTCATACAATTTGTTATTAGCTTTTCATGGCTAGTGGGTTTATGTTGATTAAGTTTTGTGGCTTTTTGATGTTGCAGGACTCGTATGTGATCTGTATGATTTTCCAAAAAGATGGGCCAGGGCCAAGAAATGGTGCAGAATATGGTGCACCCTTTAAAGAGGAAGACTGGGCTGATGATGAGGCTGAAATTTGTTCAGAAGCAGTCCCACATGCAAACATGCCTGAGCCAAACCTTGTGGCGCCAAGCAACTATAATAGTTCCAACATCCTGGAGGGTATACACATAGGTCCTTCATCTGAATCGTGCATATCAGATGCTTTACCACCTTCTTGCAATGTTCTCCAATTGGTTTCCAGTAATCATGTTACGATGGAGAAGCCTCATGTTTCCAATGATGATATCCTGTCAATGTTGAATTGCTTTACTGAAAGAAGCACTTCCTTAATGAAAGAAAATGACAAAACTGAGGTGTGTAATTCTTCCTTCTCTTTTTACTATGTAGTATATATCATTCCTGATCATAGCAAAGTGGAAATGCATCATAATCTAATTTATCATTTTCTTAGTGTTGGAATCGAGATAGGTTTATGTTGTGACACTTTGCTCATGCCATAGCTTTCCAATGCATATGTGCTAATGCGGCACAATAGAGTTGGGTTAAATTTTGGTGAACACAAGTAATTTGCATTTTACTTTTGTCATTGATGTCATCCAGGTTGTTGAAAGAGACAAATTAGCCTTTTTTTCTTCCTGATGAGGGTCTTGGCTCTGCAACTTCAGTGCATCTGTACTTTGCCTTATTTCCTCTCTCTCTCTCTCTCTCTCTCTCTCTATATATATATATATATATATATATATATATTTCTCTTGGTCTCCTTCATCAACCTAATTGGTTCCTTATTCTTATTTCATACTGCTTTCGCAGATGTTTGGTGCTTCTCTTACTGTTATTTTTTGTTTTTACTTTTCAATTGATGGAGGGTAAATTTTCCTACTCTTTATTCATGAAGAAATGATATGTTATTATCCTCTGCTGATGAGGTGATCTCTCTCCTTGTTTTTTGTAATGATCTTTTGCTGCCTATATTTGCCTATAGCTATAATGATAATCTGTGGAAGCTGTGACTATGGACTCTGTTAATAATTATAGTGCAAATGTTATTTCTTGAAGCTAGAGTTTTAAACTAGATGGTGTAACTTGAGAAGTTGATGGTATTGAACTTTAATTTTGAAATTTTCATTTTATGCTGGATCCTTTTGGATGTTCTTATATGCACCTATAAGAACATTAGTACACATAAATTACGGAAGTAATAGAAATATATTACTTCCGTAAGTACATTGGTACACATAAATTATCTTGCAAATGTTCTTTAAACTTCTAAGGTATGATAATGTCAAACTTCTCCACGGTTTGCAGGAGCTTGGTAATGTCATTCCTTCTGGAAATGCTAGTGCTACACCTCTTGTCAATTGTGATGATATTTATGAAAATTTAGGAGACTTGGGCAAGCTGGCTACAGTGAGTGAAGATGGTTATAATTTCTCCGCTGGTCATAATTCAATATGTGCTCCGGCTCAAATGCTGCTAGGTGACAATGAGCAATTCTTGGAGCTCGATGATCTTGGTAGATCCGTTGAATTGCCATGATTCGACATATACTCAGCCTCTGTTCAGTCAGCCTTGTACTTCGCTGGGAGAGACACCTTTTCCTGTTGAAGACGAGTTGAATGTGTTTGTAAGGTGAACTTCTGAAATTATTATTGCTGACTTTCAGAAGCTCACCTTACCAGACACATAACGTTGACTTAATCATTGCACATTCTTTTTCATTGTTTGAAACGGAACAATGTTAAAAATTGTGGTACCATATTGTATTACAATGCATTTTTCATTTTATGTCTATAATCTTTTACGAGGGTTTACGCTTAAACTAGGCTTGTGTTGTGTACTTGCGCAGTGTTATGTTTTTGGGGGTCGATATCGTTTGAGGTTGTGACTTGGCTTATGTCCACTGCATTTTTTTCTTTGTAATTTGGATGCATAGTAAGAAAAAACAGGAAAAGAAGGTCAAGAGTTAATTACAAGTAAACCTACAACTTCGAGGTTACAATCTCTATGGCAAAGCCAAAGCTGATTTCCAATCTCTCCCTCCGATGCTCACTGTGTTGGGCCAAAACTGATGTCCTGTAGAAGTCACAATCAAATGTAAATTTTCCATCAATGAGTGATTCTTCATATAAGTGATTATTGACTTATCTAAAGTCTCTCTCAAATGGTTTTAAAGTAATTTTATATGGAAGAGACTCTAGAAATGCGATTATTGGACATGAGCCTCCAGGTATCATGGACTTGGACCACGATCCTGGACAATCAATCGCTCAACATTAGGCCCAGAACTCGATCTTGGACCTTGAGTCCCAAACGCTATCACTTACCCTAGGCTAGAACTCGAGCGGACCCAACGTTGATATTCAAATTCCAAGAGCGTTGAGCCCAAACCCAAATAATAGATTGATATTTCATTACTCATTGATTTGCATTCTGTTTATTTTTTATTTTTCGGCCATTAGTTCTGGGAAAACATATTTATCCAAACAAAATATAAAAAAGCGAAAAAATAAACAGAAGTGGAAATTTCACTTTTGTGTTTTGGGCTTTGCCCTGTACTTCGAACAATTGCAGGCAGTCGAAAGCGACGCTACTCTTGTTAGGGAGGGACCACAGAGCCTACGCTGGGCTCTCACAGTGGCCTCAGTAAGCTTGTCCAGGTAACCCCATAGAGACTAACTTGTACCTGGTATTGGTAGGCATGTTTTGTATTTGCAGGCAAGCTCTATTGTTTTCTTGCTTCTAACTCGTTTCGTTTAACTTGTTTGTGAGTATTGATGCTTATTTTCTTGGTTGGTTTCAAATATTGTCACTTCCAAGATCAGTGTTTTATTATAATTTCGATCGCTTTCCGTAGCTATGAATTGTACAGTAAATAAATTGGTACCCAAAGAAAGAAAAAAAGTAGTTGCATGCTCAATATATGTAGTGATTCATGGCTTCATAGTTCATGCTTGGATTTCTAAGGTTGAATTAAACATTTGAGCTATAAACCCTTTTCGTATAGTTGGTTGGAGTGTTATACGATTTGCAAATTCAGTTTTTTGTTGTTGTTGGGGTAGTAGAGGGTATGTTTTCGGTTTCCTTTCAGAAGAAAAAGATCCATGAGTCTGAAATTTGTAGATGGTAGCTGTGGTGGAACTTGGGATCTACTTTCAACTTTCAAGTTGAGATTTGGAATGGTTAATGGTTAATTGTCTTAGCCACTAGTCAGTGAAAATGAATGCCACATGATATTAGAATAGGAAGCAATGTTTCCAGTTGACCAGGGAACACGAAGGCACCCACACCATACAAAAATAATTCATGCATGATGGTGTGCAAGGTATCTTACACTATGACATTGACAGACACGACAATACTATGTTGCTATCAATGTGCCAAAATAGGAATCCAAGGCACTTGAAAAGGAAAGACGAGATTTTTCATGTGGATGATGATGTGCATGATAATTGCACCTACAAATTTGATCATTAATCGGCAAAAGTAGCTGGTAAATGGAGCCCATGGACACAGACAAGTAGTCTCTAGTCATTTTCCTTTACTGGACCATGTGAATTGGATTCTAAGTTGTGCATTGATATAGGCTTAGATGCCCTTTACCTGCTGGCTTTGAGTTTGAGGAGGTTTCAGATGCGCTCAAGATACCATCACCTATCTGGTTGCATAAGAAACGGAAACACAAGTGGGACGTGTAAATTATTGAGAGAGACAGAGAGGTAGGTAAAGTTTTGATATTCCAGAAATGATCAGCTAGAATAAACAATGAGGACACCGTATATGTGATTCTGCATGTGTTGAGGCCCATTTTTAGTTATTTGAAGAACTGGTAATGTCGTGGGTTGTCATAACACTAGAATACACCCTTCTTGTTCTTTGATGAAGTGGAATGGAGTTTATGTGGTAAGGGGTGGGAGCAAAGCAAGTATGGTGCATCCATACAGCATCTGCTGTGGTGCTATTATAAATGAATTAAGTTGGCAGAATCCGCTAGAATTTATTTATGGTAGGTATCTGTATTTGTAGTACTTTATTATTATTTCAGAAGGAGGTGGGGGAGGTGTTTCAGATTTATTGCCCATGTATTAAGTTAAACCCTTGTTGAGGGAGGACCTAAACATTGCTATTGTTAGATATATTTTTAAAAATTTTCTGCACTTATAAGGAATCAATGTAATATGATTTTCTTCTGCAAAATTAGGGGGTACTTCCAAGTAATAGTTCGAAAAATTTTAGATGTAAATTGTTGGAGTAATACAATTCCTCTTTTATTTGGCTTATAATTTGAATTACTCTCTTTTCTTGTTTGGTAAGTACATCACATGTAGAGGAACACTTCTTTGATATTACTTCAGTTCGTTTTTCACGATCTGTTTTCCATCTTGTCTTATTGGTGCTTGTGAGGCTATTTGGAAAAGAGAGATGGGGGTGAAGGTGAGGGATTGTGGCAAGCTGTTCAACTTTTTGTAGAACTTATTAGAAGCTCTAAAGAAATATGTTGGAGCAAAAGGCATATAATAAAGAGAACTTCTGCATGTTAAAGTGGCCGACGATGGTCTTGTTTCAATGAAGCTCTGGAGGTTGGTTTTCAGGATGGACAAAGAAATCATGTATTCCCATTTCCATCAACAAGAGAAGTAAAGGAAATTGATGGGTTTCTTTATGAGGGATTTAATAATATAGGAATTTGTCTGTCCACTTAAATAGTTTTTGCAACAAGAGCATGCCTCTTTCATATTTTTCTGAATAGAGTTGCTATAAGGCTCACCAGAAAGGTCTTTGCATCTTGGAGGATAAGGTTCTGTTGTCAGAAGGAATGTCACTGGCCCCATCAATTTCAGTAGTTGTGCTATTAAAGGCTTAAACAAGGGTGACCTGTATTAGTAAATGACTTACCTAGTAGTTTCTTTTATGATATTCATTCAGGCTGGTAAGATTTAGGTACAGATCTGCTTAGATATTAAATTGAGTCATATTTGTACATACTGGACCTTCCTAATCAGGTTTAATCTGCAAATGTTAAAATCTGTGGATGATTAAATAATAAACTGCCTTGTGTTCATCGATGTTTCATCCCAAGTGGATTGTAGGATTCTTCCATGGAGGTTTTTATTTATTATTTATTTTTAAAAGCTTCTTAAATTGTCTTGCCCCATTTGATTCATCTTCTCATATGTCTAACCTAATAGTAATTGACACCTACTACTAGCCTAACCCTCTGCAATGTGTACCTTGCAGGCTTGCACATGTGTTAGAATTTTGTAGCAGTTTCTGTTCCTGCCACAGGAAACCATGCTTTTAAATAATGTATAAATCCCAAAATTATTATGAATTCTTACAACCAGATCTCAAGCTACATAAAAGAAAGAATTGAAGAAAGTTTCACTATGGGAGAGCTCCATCAACATTTGGGAGAACTTCGATGATATATGCTAATGACTTTTCTGTATACAAATAATGCAAAAACACCACAAAATCAAATCCATGCGCCCTTCACTCTATCCATTCCGTCAGTCTCGCCTGCTTGCCAATGGAACCACCTCTGCCAGAGGAGTCGACAGAGGTGTTGGGATTGGAGATGTTCTGCAGACGGGACAGGTAGGATGCAGCCGCAGCCACGGATCAACACACTTGAGGTGGAAGAGGTGTTTACAATCCGGCAGTAGACGGAGTGTATCGGTGCCCTTGTAATCAGCAAGACATATGGAGCAGCAGGAGGCAGTGGAGCCTGTCTTTTGGAGCTTGGCCTCGGAGTAAAGCATCTTTGGGTAGCTCTCAATGGTGCTGTCATCAAGTCCTATATCAACAACAAAGTTTTGCAGGTCAGGTGGATCAAGGGTGTTGTTGTTCCTGTGTGTCGCTGGGGCAGGTGGCTGCTGAGTTCTGGTGCAGAAGTAGGAAGCAAGGGTGATGGTTGTGATGAGCAGGAGGATGCCAACTGAGACACCAATGCCATAACCAAAGCCACCAATGTTGTTGGAACCAAGGAAGCCACCAGAGTCACTTGTGTTGTTCATGATCTCTCACCTCCTTGAGAAAGAAAAGCCAAGCAGGTGGGGTTGTGATGGAAGAAGTTGCATATGATAGAAGCTGTTTTGGTTTGGTCAGCCATAGCTCAATGACAAAAGAATTGGTTATTTGGGGAATTCAAGTTTTGTGAAGTCAACTGGTGGATGAGGTGGAGAGAGAGAGAGAGTATTGGTGGAGTTTTAATTAAGGGAAGATGCAGTTGGTCCTAAGTAAAGAGAGAGAGAGAGAGAGAGAGAGAGAGAGAGAGGGATAACATGTGATTACATTATGGTTTTTCTGTACCTGTACGTTTGATTATGTGTTTTGTGTCTGCAAGTTTTTGAAGGTCAACGTTTCTGGTTTTACCTGTTGTCTCTTATGGGTAACGTCTTTCTTTCAAGTGAGCATCTGTATCTGCTATATAATTAATTAAGTAATTTTTAAATTAATTATATCTCACATCTCTATCAACTCACAACAAATCATCATCTGTATATCTGATGTAATTATTTTTAATTTTCTATCTGTATAGGCGTGTAACGCACGTTCCATGCATTGCAAGGTTAGTTGGTGTTTACTGCTAATACATTTTAAGGCTGATTTTATGTGGCCACAACAAGTTGATCATAAACATCTACGTAGCCTCATAGGTAACGCATTTTCTTCTTCTCTCTCTGCCAAGATATGAATTGGAAGTTAGCACTTGTTTACTTGTTTTTATTGGTATGAGCCTTATCATTTAACCAGAAAACAAATTATTTGGGCTCATCATGCGTGTGGTTGGCCCTCTTCAATGGATGCAACTGTTTGTTTTTTAAAATTTCATTTTTGGTACAAGATGCAATTGGTTCTTTATATATATGGGTGGTAGCCAAAAGCACTTTATTTTTTTGGGTGCTTTTATTTGTACATATTATGAATTATGAAATTGGATGTGGATTCATTGAAAGGCAGGCCGAAGCTACCATATTAGTTTCACGAGAGATACTTCGAAGGAAAATTACAAAACCACGAAGCTACCATATTAGTTTCATGAAAAATACTTCAAAGGAAAATTACAAAACCAAATACAAGTACGTGATATACGTGGGTTAGTAGCTGTCGAAATAGGGAAATCCGAAAAATTACCCAAACTATGTCAAACCCGTCGAGAAAAAGAACAATCAATAAACAATTATAAGCATCTAAAGGAAGCAACCCATGAAGCTGTATAAACAACATTCAAAAGAAATGTACCGAGTCAAATGAGCTATAACTTGATGTTTTGGACAATGCTTGCCGTCTTTCTTGGAAGGAGACATCCTTCTTTCCTGCAAATTATAGATTTAACACATATAAAAAAATACAAAAAATAAATTTATATACACGTGTTAAAATATGATTGGCAGGAATGTAAGAGTTCCTATTTACAAGATAAGGACACAATTATTTTCCCCTTTTTTGTTGATTGAATATCCACTCAACCTTTTATTTTGATCAAAAGCAATTGATGTAATGAAACCAAAAAAAAAGAAAAAAAAGAAAAGGGAATTGATGTTCATGTTTAAGGTTTTGGGCCGTGGCAAAAAATTCTTTATTTTGGAGGCCCAATTTAGAAGTGTAATCTAATCCAAATCATCAAACAGATCCAACGGTTTCTATTCAATCTCAGTTTCCTCCTACCGCTGGATCTCACGTCTCCAACTCCGCGTCCACTCAAGCACAACTCAACAAACAAGTCATCTTCTCTGTCCTCCAAAAATCCCAATCGCCGAACCAACCATGGCGGTTGTTGGCCCATGGACGACGACGAGCTTGATCATCGCGATAATGATGATGACCACGACGGTGCGTTTAATCGACGGCAGCAACAACAACCACGTGTACTCTCCGTGCGCGGACACGAAGGTGGAGAGGTCCGACGGGTTCACCTTCGGGATTGCCTTCGCATCCAGGGATTCCTTCTTCCGAAACGGCAGCGTTCAGTTGTCTCCCTGCGACTCCAGACTCTCTCTCTCCAACGGCAATTCCCAGATCTCCGTTTTCCGGCCAAAGGTTGACGAGATCTCTCTCCTCTCCGTCAACTCCTCCTCCTTCACTGCGGTTCGTTCTCTCTCCTCTTATTTCTTTCTCTTTTCTAATTTTTTTCTTTCTCAATTGTTGGTTTTAAAGTGCTTTGTTTAATAAGATGGAAATTGCAATTTTATATTTATTTTGCTTTAGAAGTTTGCAACATCAGACGAAATTGAAACTTGAACACCCTCCCAGAATCAAATTTAGATTAAATTTTCGAACTTTACTTAAAAAAAATTCTGGTTTTTTTATTAGATGTGTTTGAGTTTTGGCATGTTTTGAATTCAATCCAATTGATTATATTTCTTGGGTTTTTGAATAATTACCAGGATTCTTATGGCTATATGGTTGCATTTGCTGGGAGAAAATATGCTGCAAGGTCCATTCCTGCTTTTGTTGCCAATGCTACCTACACTGTCACCAGCTTTACCCTTGTAAGTAAATACGCTCGAATTCGAATTGAACTTGGAACTGGAATTGGAATTTTTTTTTTCTAGTCATTGTGATTCTTGGTTCTATATGGTTTGAAGTGAGTGAGATTTGTGTTATGCAGGTGCTTGAGTTCAACAAGGGGAGGCTGCAGAACCTGTATTGGAAAAGGGATGGGTGCTCCAAATGTTCAGGGAGCACCGGCCTTGTTTGCCTCAACAATCAGGACTGTGCATTCAGGACCTCCAGCTGCAAAACCCATGGAGGCTCTGTGGACTGCAGCCTTGGGATCCAGTTGGCATTTTCCGGCACAGACAAGCACCTTTCAGTGCTTAACTCATGGTATGAAGTGAAAAACCTCAGGCAGTACTCACTCTATGGTCTTTATTCAAATTTGAAGGGCTCTCTCACTAGCCAGTACAACAAGATTTTCTGATGTAGACTTTTGTGCTAAGAGTGTTGTAATTTTCTTACTACATAGATCCACCCCAGTAGGTTTCATCATTTACTTATTTGTGTTTCAGATTCAGACAAATATTTGTTGTAAATTTATTAACTTTGAGGATCATTTTGTGATTGCTGAAAAGAGATATCAATGTTATTACATGTGCGTTCGGCCTGTTTGTGACACCCAACTTTGTAGTTGGCTGGTTTGGAATTGTTAGTGTATTAATGGTTCAATTTGCAAAATTGCTTCTTCAGAATTGGCGAAATTAGTATTAATCACTCTTTTTATGTACTAAATCACTGGAGGAATAACACAACTTTGCTTGCTCGCCGAAAAAGCTTTGCTTGCTCACCTGGAGAAACAACTTAGTTAAGCACCACGCAGTTTAGGGTATGTCCAAAATCCAACTCAGTTGTTTTGTCGGTTAAGAACCTAATAGTTTAGGGTATACCCAAAAATCAACTCAGTTGTTTTGTCAGTTTAGCAACCCGCACCAAAGCCGCTAATTATGAACCCCTGTAGATAACAGGGTGTTGAAGAAATGGAAAGTGGATTATCTACAGGGTCTTGAAGAAATGGAAAAGAGAGTGTTAAGATATACTCCGTGCAATATCTAAAAATATTTAGAGGGTGCATTAGAACTATAACAATGTTAAAATACATAAGTTAATTCTAAAATTTCACACATTAAGATCCCAAATTCATTTCTCAAAAAATCTTGAATGACAGAGATTTTAAAACAATAAGAATCCGTTCATTGACTGACTTTAGTTTCTCCCAATATCTCAATTTTTGTAGTTGCAAATTTGTTGAAACATGCTCTTAGGTTTACGAAAAAATCCTTCCTTATCTAATAGATATCTCATCGTTTTTTTTATTGACACAAGATGTCTCATCTTAAAACTGTGATACCTATGTATATATGGTTTTCACATGACTGGGACCACATATGTTCTGTATGAAAAAAATTGTGTTTGTATGAGATTAATGATCGATGCATCAATTATAGATGGAAAAATATATAAATGTGACATTAACCATAAAGATGGCAAACCTGTCCTGTCATAATGATGTTAAGGCGATCGTAGAAAAATTAAACTCTTCAAATTAAAATTTGTTGACCTATTTGATAATTTGAAAGGCTTATTTGCTACTTTAACAATTATGCCCCAACATACTTTTTAATTAAATTATTGCAATGTTATGAAAAAGAATGAAAATATGTGAAAAATATCTATGTATTTATTATTCGAAAAGAATAAATGCATATTTTAAAAACATTTTCAAGGTAGATTTTGTTTTTCCAAAGCAAAATTAAATGTTTTGAAGAGCCAATGTCAACTTACCAATCTTGAAGAGAGAGAGAGAGAGAGAGGTGGCAGCTTTGATGACTGAGTATGACAAGGTTGTTGGAGAGCATTTTAACGATGTGGCTCACCTATTTTAGCATTTTAAAGTTGTTGAAGAGGCTGTTAGAGATGCTTTTATTTTCGATTGCAAGAGGCATAAAGTATGGGCATGGAAGGACAAAGAATACCAATGAGCTAATCACCCACCATGATTTCTTTTTGTTGTATGGTTTTGTAAAGACTATCAGTTGTAAATACGGGTGTAAGTTGGATTGAAAATTCCATTTAGAACTGAAAATTTCTGAATATGGCGAGTCCAAATCAATTCCGACATACGAAAGTTCCGAAATCCGAAAACTCTAAAAAAATTTGGATTGGCATTGGAAAGTAGTTCAAGATTCCGAAAATTCCGAATTCCGAATTCCGAAATTCGAAATATATTGAGAATTCAAGCTTAGACTATACATAATGACTAGTTTCATATTGAATTTGATATGAATTAATGACCAAATAGACATAGACAAGCTATTTCACAATGAATAACAACATATAATTGATAGCATATAATAGTTTTTCGAGTTTTTTCGTATGATTTTTCAATTTTGAGCCAATTTTAACCTTTCAAATTGGTAGTCATGTTTAGAATTTTCAATGAGTTTCTGAAACTTCCCAAAAAGAAATCGAAATATGTAAGTTTCGAAATTTTCCAATAATTCCGAAAAATCGGAGATTTCCAAATTGGAATGGATGTTAAAATTCCGAAATTCTTTGGAACGGAATTGGAAAAGAATTTTCATTCCGAATATTTTTGGAATGGAATTGGAATCCCCTAATTCCGATTCAATCCATCTAAAAATCAGCCAGAGTTGTAAAAAAAACTTATAGCTAAGATGATTAAGAGCATTTACTCAAATCGCAACGGTTTGAGTTCGATATCCTTCCCTAAGAAGAAAAATTGTAGGCTTAAATGCAAAAAATGGTCCTTGTGTTTTACAATGTTGGCCAATTTAGTTCATGTGCTTTCAATTTGGCCAATTTAATCTTTGTGTTTAGAACTATTAGCCAATGTTGTCCATTCCGTTAATTTTCTGTTAAAATAATTTAAAACTATTTAAATATTAATTAAAAAAAACATAACTAATAATAAAAATACAAATAAACTAAATAAAAAATTTAAATTAAAAAAAAAAAAAAAAAAAAAAAAAAAAACAAACACATCCAACAGCCACCACCACCAATCATGAGAATGTGTAGGTAAAAAGTCCCACATTGGAAAGCTGATAAACCTAGCCAGGGCTTATAAGGAGTTGGGCTACTCCCCCCATTGCCAATTGATTTTGTTGTAGAACCTCAACTTTCTTCATGGTATCAAAGCCAAGGTAGCCTATGTATGAAAGCCCAACAACTCCACGTCACCCAGTATGTGTGTCCTCATGCTAGGCTTGAAAATTCGCCACACGTTGAGGGGGGAGAGGCTTGTGAGAATGTGAAGGTAAAAAGTCCCAAATTGAAAAGTTGAGAAACCTTAGCAAAGGCTTATAAGGAGTTGGGCTACTCTCCCCCATTGCCAATTGGTTTTGGGGTGGAACCTCAACTTTTTTGTGCTATCAGAGCGGGTTAGCTCACGTGTGAAAGCCCAATATGTGTTGTCCACATGCTAGGTTTGAAAATTCGTCACACGTGCATGGTAAAAAGTTTCACATTGGAAAGTTGATAAACCTAGCAAGGGCTTATAAGGAGTTGGGCTACTTCCCCCATTGCCAATTGATTTTGGGGTGGAACCTCAACTTTCTTCATCTACCTCCCCAACAATAGCCCACCATACCATGTTTGATCCTACTCACAATCACTCTATCTCTCTCAAGAACAACCCCTACGCTACACCCTTTCACCAACCATTCCATTGCCCTTTGACCCATCCCTAACACCACCTCCAGACCTCCACCCTCATCCCACTCCCGCCACCTCTTCATCTATCCCCCTTCGGCCGTGTGCCCTCTGCTCATCAACCCCTCTTAGGCCTGAACACATGGACTAAATTGGCCAACACAATCTCTTCCTAAAACACATAGGCCATTTTAACATTTAACCCAAAATTGTATATAGTTCATTAATTGAACATAAGTTTGCACTAAGCCATAATTGAAACAACCAAAGACACCAAAATGCTAGATTTGATATAAAAAATTAGATAATTCCCGATCAAACGATACATAATAGGCAAAATTTGGATCGTCGATCAAACGACGAAATCTTGCCAATCCGAATATACCGTCATGCTCAGAACGATTTGAGGAGAATGATAGGTCCAAGTGGGCCTTCACTAGGTGGCCCATGCGCCGCGAGTATCGGCGGGTGACTTGAGTAGATTTCCAATGACCACGAAACTTTAAATTGACGGTCTCCACCTATGCTAAAAGGTCAAGCAAGATGAGATGTGCAAACTTTATATCTACATCAATGGTCGGGTGTGGCTGGAAGTGTCCAAATTTGAAGGTTTTTCGACGAGAAAATCCTAGGGAAAAAAATAGAGGAGAGGTTAGGGAGTATTTTTTGTGAAGGAAGCACAGATTGCCGGAAACTACAGGTCGAAGCTTTACAATTCCGAATTATTCCGATGTTGTTTGTGTCAAATCTGGGTGGATAGAGTATAAGGGAAGGAGAGAATCATTTGTGGGTGGTGGCACCAGCTTGGGTGGTCGGATGATGAAGAAATTGGCGGTGAAAGTGGCGACACTGTGTACATTGATGAGAGAGAAAGGGATAGGTCATGAGGAAGAGATGGAAGCGGAGAGAGAAATGGTTGGCGCCTCTTGGGCTAGCTAGTGCACCTTGTTAAAGAATATGACTTTCCCAAGATTATGGTTGTGCCACTACACTTCCATTAACGTTAACTCCCTTATAAAACTCTGATTATGTGTCTATGAACTCATGAGAACCAGCTCTACATCATGGAGCGAAGAAAATTTTCAAAACTAGTCCCGAACAAAAGGTGAACCTTAAACCACTTAGAAACCCTAAGGTAAAACCATCCTTTCAATTTTAAAATTTGAAATTTAATAAAAATATCGGGACAGGATGTTACATGTAGCACAAGCGATGACCAATCGTTTCCCGCATGATGCTCCAGACCTACCAGTCGCCGGCTGCATTCCACCATCCACACAATCTTTCTCTCATCAAGAATGCAACCGGTTGTTCTGGAATACTAACCAATCGGCTACTACTTCTCAAGATTTTCATCCATTGCCAATTGAGTTTGGGTTGAAATACTCAAATTCTAATATGTTATCAAAGCTGGCTATCCAAGTAGAACGCCTAATAGTCTCATATGCTCCCACACCACCCAATAAGAATTGTTTGAAAGATTGAAACATTGCAATAGTTCTTATGAATTGGATGCTATCACATTCTAATACTACCTTGCATGTAGGCTCGTCTCTTCCTATATTGTCATACCTTACTAAATTTCACTTCTATTTTCTTAACGACAATGTTTTGAGAAACTATTGTGTTACTAGAATATATTCATGTGGTGTTACTGATTCACGGGCTATATATGAGTGGGGTGATGAGTTTGTACTTTAGTCAAAAATCAGACGAAGGTTTTATGTAACTTTGTAGATTACCTAACATTCCTTAAAAACACATACCATTTAAGTCAGTAGTACATGTAGAATTGCCTACATTAGCCAGATGCAAAATTTAATTTTCCTACCAAGCCATATCCAAGAATCTCCAAATACAGATTTTTTTTTACTCTCTATGAATAAACAATTTTAATGACCAATATCGTCTGCGTCTTTTCTCTCCTTGACTTACCACCTTTGTCAATATCAAAATAATGACATTGAGTCTTAATGTTTCCTCTGCTTTAGCTATGTATATAGCCATGTGTGGGTATAGTTTAGAGCACCAAAGAAATCAATCCTAGAGAGATTAGAGAGTTGCTTTACCATGGCTAGGACAAAGGTGAAGCTTGCATGGATAGAGAACGATAGCGCTAGGAAGAAAAGGTTCCGAAGGAGGAAGGAAAGCTTGTTGAAGAAAGTTAGTGAAATAAGCACCTTATGTGATGTGGGTGCTTTCGCCATTGTCTATGCCCCAGACAGCGACAAGCCAGATGTGTGGCCTTCTCCCTCAGAGGTGAAAGAACTAATTGCAAAGTTCCAGAGCATCCCAGAAGCAGAACGGTCTAAGAAGATGACGGATCACGAGACTTACCTAAAGGAGACAATAGCCAAGCTAGAACAACAATTGAGGAAGATCAAGAGGCAGAACTATGAGATGGAAATGAACGATATCATGCACGATCTTTACAAAGGTATGCCAATGTATCTACTTGAAACTAGTAAAATAAGTGATCTGGCTTCTTTTTTAGAGGAGAAAATGAAGGGAATCTCAAAAATTATGGAGCGTCTGGAGAAGGATCTTCCACTAGCTGATGTCTCTTCTCAGGCGGGTCGTGATGATGAGAATGTTGCTGGAAGGAGCAGCATCAATGCAGTGGGAAGAAAAATTGGAGGCATCAGATTGATGGGTTTTGATATTGGAAGCAACATCGCTGGTGATAATGGAGGTGGTGAGGAGTGATATAGGAAGTGCCTCATGGGGTAATTTAGAGGTAACAAATTTGAAATGTAGTTTGATGAAATAAATAAAATGACAACCAAAACACATTGAAACATCAGAGAAAGCATATGCATTTGTATGTACTTCTCTGGTTGTTTTTATTTAGTTTTTGTTTTTGTCTCATTGTGTTTGCTTCATGTATCCATTAATTTCTTAGGATCTAAATGAAGTAATATCTTTCTTTCTAATTGTGCCATTGTCTTGTTTTAGTTTTAAGCATAACCTGCAACGCCATCCTTAATGGGTGCCTTAAATGGGGCTCAACCCCCTTGGGGCTCTATAATATACAGCCCATGTGTAAAAAGGCATCCCCAATGGAAGAGCTTTGGGGCCCTATATCATAAAGCCCCACCAGAGCTATATCTAAATCTATGGACTCAGATAGAGCCCCTAGAGTCCAACCGGGTCCTACATTTTGAAAAGATGCAACATACATCAGGCTTTGTTTAATGTTTTTTTTTCCCCCAAATAAAAGGCTTTTTCTACTCCTTTTGTTTTTTTATTTTTATTTTTTATTTTTATTTTTTTGGTTTGATATTTCCTTCTCTCTCTTTTTTTTTCCTTTCCTTTTGCTTTCAATTGTTATAATTTACCTTTAGGATTACTACAATTTTTCTATGTTTCTTTTAATTTTTTAAAAATTATAAATGGGGTAGAAATGTTATTTTTTTTATTCATTATAATTTACCTTTAGAATTACCACTCCAAATTTTTATTTTTTTGGGTAGAAATGTTCATTAAAAAAAAAAGCTAACATAACATAAACATACAATAAGACAAACTAAGTTAATAACAACAAAAATCAACATGTAAAACAAATTACATCATAAAAAAATTCATATAGAGCCTCGGATATAGAGCCTCCCATTGTAGAATACTTTTAGAGCCTAGAATATTCCTATGGATCTCTAAATAGGTCTCTATCTACCATTTTTAGAGCCCCATTTAAAGAATATATGATTGCGGATAGCCTAACTCACACATAACGAGAAGAACACGTATGTGTATTACGTGTTATGTATATTTTGATTAATTTTTTTAGGATTTGGCTGAAAAATTTGGCCACATCACAAACTACGGAAACAGATATAAATAAGTTCATATTTGAAAAGGAACAGGTCATAATATATGTGTAATCTAGAACTCATATATTTGATTCAGTCCATAGTAGAAAAATAACAATTACCATGCTATGTACATAAGTATGGCATTGGGGGAGCCTGAGTGCGATGACTAATTAAACGGTGTAATACATTAGAAAGGGAAATATTTTGTCCACCCAAGAGGGTATGGGGAGATTAACTTTCCAATCTATGACATTAGTTGGTTCAATATAACTGTAACAGTCTATTTTTTGGATAATCATTTAAAAAACAATTCATTGGGGAATTATTTAGTCATTTGAATATTATCATGATTATTTTAGGAGGGCGCATTCAATTAGGATTTTAATAGATTGTTTTTGAAACTTAAAAGTTCAATGGTATTCAATTAAGATTTTTAAGCAATGAATAAAAGTCTAGTAGTATTCAAATAGAATTTTAAAATAGTTTGTTTATCTATCGCGGAAACATTCATCTATGTTTGATTTCAAATTTTCCAAGTTATTGTAGGAATATAATTAAATAGACTTAAAAATGAAAAGCTCAAATCATGAGATGACATCGAGAGGTGAGGCTTTTGGTTTATGGAGATTGTGGCAAACAAGAAAACTCGTCCAAAGCTCTGGCATCACCTTGTACTTCCATTCTTCTTTTCGAAATGCAGATTGTGGAACTATCTACCGTGGAAGAGAGCCAGAGAAACTTGCCAGGGAGAATGCCGGAAGGATAGCCCCCCTCCCCGTTACACCAGCGCCCTAAGAAGTTTTCTCCTTCTGCCATCAACATTTTAGTTTGAAAACCCCATCAGCATGAGGCTATTATATTAAATCCCAATAATATATTTTTTTTAATATTTCAGAAATCAAAGTGCTTTATTACCAAATGATTTATGATATAGATGAAAATGATACCTTTCTCAGCCTCTTCTTGAAATTAATTAGGAAGAAAACATTGTCCCATCGATCACCTCCCTCTTAGATGAGACGGTAACTGATTAGAATTGCATATATGCATGTGAATAGATGTTTTAAAATATGCTATTAAATGAGGCAGTTTTGTCAATGCAGGCTCTCTCACCAACTAATGGGAAGAATTTCTTCTTGTCTGAAAGTGAGCCAAGCTTCTAAATGATCACTCCTTGTTTTTATGCACAGGGTATTGATATATATATATATAGAGAGTTCTTCTCTAATGCGGACGTCGCATTATGTTAAAGTCCAGTCGTCTCTTTTGCAACTTCTTTTTGCAAGTGAATTTGGTTCTTAGTGGAACTCACTTGGCTTGAGGAGCCATACTGGCTTAGTGGAACCCATTCATCACTGACATGGCTCTATAATTAAACAGAAAAAGAAGCAAGCTTACAGTAGCAACCAATGGTATTGCTTATTGTTCTTCTGCACACCTTCCCACTTTTGGGATACTTTTTGGAAGGCCCAACCCCTAATTATATATTTATATATGGAGTGCTTACCATGTTTTTGCTTTATACATGTATGAAAGCAAATCCACCTACACAAAAGAAGTTGGAAGGACACGACCGGACTTTAACACAATGCGGATGTCCGCATTAGAGAAAAACTATACATATATATATATATATATTAAATAGAATAAGGGATTATGCGAGATTAGCTTATTAGAATTGATCATGGAATGCATAAACATCCACAATCCTTAAAGAGAGGACCAACACATTCCCCCGCCCGTCCCCTTGCTCATAATTTTATGAATAAGGATATTGACTTGTTATTATCTTGCTTGATGTTCTCTTCATATATATTCCTTTTGTTTGTTTGTACTTTGGTTTTGTTTCATTTGTCCTTATATTTATGCCGAGAAGCGGCGTAGCGGTGTTATGGTCAAAAAGTTGTTCATTTATAGTAAGAGCCAAGGAAGGAATCGAAAATCTGGCCCCTCTCATCCTATAATGTCATACCTTATTAAGTTTCACTTCCTAATTTAACGATGAAAGGTTTGTATGGCTTCATAGTTGATTGAACATTCCTTAAAGATACATGTCGCTTCCAAATTGTTCATGTGCATTTTCAACACTTTCCATATAAATTAATGATAACCAATTCCCACACATTTGCCAGATACAACATTAAATTCTCTTACCAAAAACCATAGTCCGATAATATTCAAGTACAGATTTTTTTCACTCCCAATGCATGAATGACCTACATCATCCTGCACCGACTTCTTTGATTTTTCCAATTTTGTCGAAGTCTATATAAGGACATTGAGTCTTATCTCAGCTGTCCATGATGTATATAAATCCCTAGGGGGCACATAATTTAGAACACGATAGAGTTTGAGCCTAGAGAAGTAGCAAATAGCTTAATTACTAACTAGAAAGCAACACCAACCATGAATAACAAGCTGAAAACTGCATGGATAGAGGATGATAAGTCCAGGAAGGCCTGCTATAGAAAGAGGAAGATATGCTTGCTGAAGAAATTAAATGAGCTTACCATTTTATGTGACGTGTCTGCCTTTGTCATCATCTATGGCCCCGAAACGGATGAGCTGGTTGTGTGGCCTTCCCGGCCGGTGGTGCAAGAACTGCTTGAAAAGTTCTTGAGGCTGCCACTAGCAGACCAATGCAGAAAGATGCTGGATCAAAAGGCTTACCTCAAGGAGAGGGCAGCCAAAATAGAGGAGCAAATAAGGAAGGCAAAGAAAAAGAACCATGAGATGAAGATGAAAGACATCTTGCACAAAATTCAAGAAGGTAAGCCACTGAGTGAATTTGAAACTAGCGACCTAATTGATTTCATTTTGTTTTTGGAGGAGAAGATGCTAGAGATCCAGGAACGGGTTGAGCTTTTGGAGCAGCATGTTCCACAAGGTGCTGGTGAAAAAGAGAAGGGGAAGGAGATTGAGAACAATGCTGTTAATATCCCTCCAAATGAGAATATTACTGGAGGCATCTGCAGCAGCAATAATATGGGAGAAAATGAAAAGAGTGGCTTTAGACTGATGGGTGTTGATATTAAAGTGGGGCATCTACTACATGAGGGCAATAATGGAGGCACTCAGAAGTGATAGGGCTTGCCTCATGGGTTGTATGGAGGTGGCAACGTTGATGATGTTGGGCTTCCTTATGAAAACCTAGAAAAATCGCTTCTTTCTTTGAACCACAGTTGATGTGGATAGGATGAATAATAAAAAAACAATCACAACAAGATCAAATTAGATATAGGGAACACCTGCATTGTAGTTCTCTAGTCTTTGTTGTTTCCCATGTGGTTGTATTTGGTTGTGTTTCTTTAGTTTTTGTTCTTTGCCTAATCATGGTTGATCCATGTATCCATTTCTCAGCTATAATGGAGCATTAATATGTTGGCTTTTAATTCTATGTCATTGTCTTATTTGCTTTAGTTTTAAGCACATGCAGTTATTTACGAGGGCATCCTTTGAGGTTTTTCATACTTTTAAAACTCTTTTAAGGTTTAGAAATTACAATAGCACTTCATGATTATTCAGAATTCATAAATAACGAAAAAGGCCCGCCAAGTTACTCTAATAAAGGATTAATGAAACCCATTAGAGACTTAATTGCTAAGCACATAATCTAAACCGCCTTGGAGTTGGGTTCAAGGAAACACTTATTTCCAAAGATATAACAAATAAATTTCAACAACTTTTTTCATAGATTTCAACTTAGATTTCTAAGATATGTCATAAAGGTTCCAAGCCTTCTTGAGGGTATCCAGATTACAAGATTCATTCTTGTTGAGGAGAAAGACTTCCATGAAATGAGGATAGCAATATTTCACTTATTTCCGGCCAATAACGCATAATATGTGTGATAATACTTCCACGTAGAATAGCATTATTGGTCGGGGATAGAAAAATAGTGTTATCCCAGCTGCAACTAAGTTTTTCTCCTTGTTGAGAACTCTACCAAGCAAGGCTTTGGTATTAGTTTTCAAGTGAAAACTATTAAGTTGAGGTGCAGGAGATTTCAATAGAATTGCGTCTTAGTCATTTTAATAAGCTGAAACTCGCTGATTACTAATTAATCGGAATTCAAAAACAATTTTATTTTTAGTGATTCTCTTACATATTCTTTAATTTTAATGTTTCTTAAGGAGGTTTTTTTAGTTTCGGTTGTATTTATAATTCATACTGAGTTTTGATTCCTGTTAAAATTGCAGTTTTAAGACAAATTTCTACAAGTTGACTTTAGTTTAACTCAATTGCTTTTACCATTTATCCAAATGGATTTTAAAGATCTTTGTATCATTCAATGCATAGAAAATAACTTATATAGAACCAATTCTCCACTCAATTCACAATGGTCTGATTAAGAGTTAGGTTTCTTGGCATGCAAGTTATTCAATTTTCATTTCATCTATTAGGCTTTTTGCAATGCTAATAATGACACGTTCACATTCTTCAATCATTTCGTCTAAGAGCATCTGTAATGGTTATGATCAATGCATTATTATTGCATGAAATTGAACTAAAACAGTAAAATATAACTTGTAATAGTGTGATTTAGTTATGCTAATTAAAAATAGAAAAAATTACAGCAATAAATGCATTATGCCATTAAGAGCTTCTGTAATCTGTCAGATATATGCCCTATAAGTCAATATAAAATGGATAATTCTAAGGAAATAATATATAATAGTAAAGGGACAAGAACGTTACTTTAGATATATAACGTACACAAAGTAACAAGTCCATGGATTAAGATATAAATGGCAAGTGGTCTAAAGAAGTTAGACGCACGAGACCTTTCCATACATATAAATATCGTATCCTAAAATTTTCCTCATCATAGGATCACCAATTGGACAATGTTGTACTGCAAAGACTGGTACACATTATGTCTGCTCAATTGGGAGGATGTGTAGGTGCTCTATAGAAGATGGAGTCTATTGAACGTGATCAACTCTATAATTCTTGTATGGAAGTCTTACTCACAAGTGTCAAACGAAGAATTCTAAGTTGTGATAATGCAAATTAATCCTTAGACTTGAGACATCACAGTTGTCTTATGTATATGTTGTTTCTCTTTGAGAGCACTATACGGTCGTATCAAATGATGTGACTTAAAGGTGTTCTTCAGGATTTTCAGCGTGTACGCAGAGACATGTGAATATACAAAGAATCTATACTCTTAGTAAGAAGAAAGAATACTTTAAAGATATGATTCATGAATCTTTGGCCAAAGTATTGGATGGAAATTGAAACAAGAACGTTTTCAATTTCATCAAATTGAATCATATAACCAAGAGATGTCATATTAGGGATTTTGACACAAGTTTACCATATCCCGAGAATATGACATAGAGTATTGAATTAGAGAAGGATCAAATTGCATTGTAATCACAAACTGATTAGGTTCTCTAAATGAATTCTTTTTAGCTTGTGTAGCCATGACATACTGTAGGTGTCACTCATGGCTTGTGGAAGCCCTGTAAGGACAAATTATAATTAGCCTTCACCAATAAGGAGAATGGGATGGAGGGATACAATTCACACTTGATTCAAAGTGAATCATTCATACCCACTGCCTAGCTAATTAGAACCTATAAGATCGCACACTGAAAAGGAATCGATTGGGAAATTATGAAGAGAACGAATGATTTTGTGACTTAGTCAAAGTCAATGTGAAAGTCATAGGTCAAAGTCAAAAGTCAAAGGTCAAAGGTTAAACGGTTGATCCGACACTTGACATGGTCAACTAAGGATGACTGGGACCAACACTCGTTAAACAAGTGAGTAATTGAATCAGTCAAGTCACTAGAGTAATTAAATTGATTAGATTAATTTAATTATTCAATTAAAGTTATGAAACTTTAATTAAAGGTCTCATATGACTTGGAAATTCAAGAGGGATTTGAGCATATGGACTTAGACACATATGTGGCACACTATAAGATTAATGTGTTAGACCAAAATAGCAAAAGATGACACACAAAAGGTGGGGTGTGGCTACACTAGGGCTTAGGGGTATTTTTGTCATTTTTGTGACATTTTTGATCCTATAAGGGGTCATTTGGTACGTTGGACTGTCATGGACTAGACTAAACACTGGATTGTATTGGATTGGCTTGGCTTGGCATAAGCTGGATAAGCCTAATACTGCGTTTGGTGTACGATTGGACTACGACTAAATTTTTAAATTTTTAAAAAGAAAGCAAATGAATTTTTTATATTTTTTACTTTTCTTCTCTCTCGCTCTGCTCTTTCTTCTTCATCTTCTCTCTCTGCGTTTTTTTCATCTCTTCTTCTCCTTGCTCTCTCCTTCTCCTCTTCTTCTCAATCTATATTCTTTCTTCTTTTAATTTCTACCCCGCTTAAAAACATCATTCTGATTAGATACTTTGGCTTTGCTGTGGTAAGTAATTTGCATAAACAAATTTGAGGGAGAGGCAAGAGCTCACACCTAAATCATGGCAGAAATCCACAGCCCACACCAAAATCATCATCCACAAACAAACTTGAGAGAGAGGTAGAAGCAGACTCAAATTAATGAAGACCCAAAGATAAATCGTTAAACAACTTCAATCTCCATGGTGGTCTGCCGTCGATGTCTGCCATTGTTGTTGTTGCCTGCCATCGCCATCTGCAACCCATAGTCGGTGGTTGTGATTACCGTTTGGGTGATCAGTGGTTGCCATTGGCGCTTGGGTGGAGTTGGTTACAGATCTTTGGTCAGGACTATTAATCCCTCATTTTCACATGAGTTTAGCTAAGAACACCTAAGAAGGTGTTTTTGGTGGACCTGGGATTACTAATCCCACTTAATACTAGGACCAGGTGACGACAAACATGGGATTAACTTTTAGCCAAGCAATCCAAGCCAAAGAGGTGTAACAAACAAGCCCCAAGTGTGTAGCTATAGAATCCTTTCATCCTAGGATTTTTCAAGTTGGTGAAATTTGAAGACATAAAACATCAGAGCTTTCTCTCCCTAACCCCTTGAATCTATCACATCAAGTGAAGGTGCTAGCACCACTCTTCACTTGTTGTCTACTCATTCTCTCATCCCATTCAATCCTTGGTGAAGGGCTTTGGGGAGGTGCATATCTTTGTACCTATTTGGAGAGCTACAAGGTGGAGAATCAACATCAAAGGGAGAGCCAACAACAAAGGGACCACTCCCTCTACTTGAACACCATTCTTGGTTTCAAGATTCGCTCTGCGGGTATGAACATCTTATCTTTCTCTCAAATAAGATTTACAGAGTCTTTGGTGCACACTTTCATAGACTTATAAAGATTAGGACCAAATGAAACTTGCATGAATCCCTAGTTTATTTCATGTTTCCACTCTTACTTTGATTTCATATTAGATATGACTTGCTAGGTAATTTATACTCTCAAAGTTTGGTTGTAAAGTTTTTAGAAATCTTTACACAACACCATTCCCACAATATTCCATTCATAATGGTTGTTCAATAGTTTTTTGAATAGGTAGATTTCATTCCATTAGAAAGTGGGAATAATAGGCATGTTATTCGTGGCCTTGTTAAAACATTCTTGGAGAAAACCACATGGGAAAATCTTCGGGGTAGAAAAGAGTACAACACATGTCAAAGAAGTACAAAACTATAAATAAATTACATAGCATCAATAAACAAAACATCCTATAGGAAATCTGGTGGATCAATAACCCATTCTGCCATTCCCTGGGAGTACAGAGCATAGCAAGTTGCAACCCCATTAGCATCCCTCTCCATATACCTCAAATAGACAATCTCTTGTTTGGCCCAAAGTGCTTTACAATCCTCAATTAAGCATCTTAGGTGGGACAGATCAGCTTGGCCCTGTTGTATTGAGTGTAACACACCTTGAGAATCCCATTCGATATGACACACCAGACTTGACCACTTGCCAACATAGGCTAAGCCCTCTCTTAGTGCAATTAGCTTGGCATGCATGGAATTGGAGACCTCATGGAACACAATCAACTTGCATGCTAAGAGCTTGTACAGTTTCGAACCACTAAACCAACCCCACCAAAGCCAGCTTTGAAATGAATAACTTCATTCACATTAATTTTAATAGCCCCAAGCGGTGGCAGTTGTCATTTAGCTTTGGCCCATGAAGTATGGCACATATGATGAGGATTTAATTCTTGAAACTCTTGCAGACAACATATTGCTCCACTAACAATTTCCGTTGAACTCCAATAATGTCTTGTCGAAACCATTTGATTACGCTCATACCACAGCATCCACAAACACATCATTACTTTCTCTAGCTCATGAAGTAGGTGGTCCGCATCAAGTCATTGGAACCACATTTGTAACTCATCCATTGATTTAGTATAAAAGTTTGCCTATGTCGGATATAAAGACCAAGAAAAAGTAGCCATGGGGCATTGGAGGAGGACATGGGACACAGTTTCGTTAGCCTCACAAAAGGTACAGCCTCCCAATTTAGAGATGTCGTGATGATTCAAGTTATCCTTGGTGGGTAAAATATTTAATAAAGAGCGTCAAACGAATATGTGAACCTTTAGTGGCATTTGGGCCTTCCAAATCTTCTTCCAAACATGTTCAAAAGCATCGATAAATCCTCCGTTTATGGGGGTATCGTCCTCGTCTTGCTGGAGCAAAAAGATTCAAGCAACTTCATACCCGCTCTGTACTATGTACTAACCACCTCTTTGAAAGTGTTAAAGTGACAAGTGGATGTCTGAAACATAAAGGGATTTTTAAGATGCAGTTCACTTCCTCGTTTGAGAACCAGGCTTACAAAAGCTCCTCCCTCCATTGCAAAGTGACTACGTTGATAAGAATGTTCACTCTTGCCTCCTCAAACCCCTAAGCCCAAGGGGAGGAAACTTGAAAAAATTCAAAACCAGTCAACCGTCGGTCTCCCATATATGTATATTGTGGTCATTCCCGATTTGCCACCGAGATCCCTTTTGAGCCAAAATATGGGTTTAAAATAAACTTCTCTTATAAAAATAGCTCCAAAATCTTATAACTTTACAAGAAATATTAAACAGGGTGAGGGATGAGCAACTGGTTTAGTTATTGTCTTACCAACTAATTCATCTAAAAAATTAAATAGAGTGAGAGATGAGCAACCACCGCTCAGTAGGGACATGAGACCTTACCACAATGGATTGATATAACTAACTTAAGTGACTTACAATCACATAGCCAAATATCACATTAATAATAATACATGAATGAATGCTCTTCATCTACTCTCATTAATTCATATAACTGGACAAGCAGATCTGCACGTCTCATACCATGCTTATACCACTTGGTCCCGAATGCCTAGAACTAACACCCATTTCAATCATCCTATAATTCCCATTTTGTTAATCATCTTGTCTAACTTCTTGTCGCCAGTCCCGAATCACCCAATAAAAACTATGTGCACTATGGGATCCCTAAGACCTGGTACCTGCCAAGAGTTAGACTCAACTACACAAAAGACTATTTCCATTACCCTCTTTTCCATCATTATTTTCTCAATCCAACAACTCCAACCAATTTTCATGACATGATATAATTATGCCTTTCACATATCCCATGTATCTCACAACAATGTAACCATTAAAACATCACTAACGTATATACAATTATGCCAACATTGTTCAAATAGTTAAGAATATGTAAATACCCAATACAAGGAATGTCAACCAAACTGTAATATCAAGAACATCCATTATAATATCACACATAATATAGAGCTCACGAAATTTAATTAGATCAATCCCCGTAAAGGCCCCTAAGAAACCCCTACCTTAACACCAAAGCTTTTGCTTGAAATGTAAGGTGTTTTACCAATTTTCCACTGCATCCACAAACTCAGTCTCCCACTTTTTTTTCTTAACAATTCTTCTTCTCTCTAAATTTCTTTCTAATTTCTCATGTTTTGAAACTATAAGATTATGCTCCTATTTATAGTGGTTATAGGGATAGGATAAACTTCAATATTAAAAGGATAAGAACATCCAAATTTATCCAAAAGATAAATATCTTAACAAGATAAGATTATCCAAGTTTATCCAAAAGATAAATATCCTAACAAGATAAAATCATCCAAGTTTATCCAAAAAATAAATATATTAAAAAGATAATATCGTCCAAGTTTATTCAAATGATAAATATCTTCTTTTATCCATTTAAAATACGGGTCTTCACAACCTCGATCACATCTTTTGACATACGCCGTAGAGTTATGGTGTTGAAAGCACCAAATATGTTTGAGCAAATTTTCGCACAGGGAATATTTGCGAGTTGGTTCCTCAATTTTCGATCTTCCTTCTCTCTCTTCTTCGATTCCTATGAAATAAATAGGAGTAAATAGACAACACCCAGGGGGTGTTGGCCAAAGGCCCTCCGATACCTAAGTTAGTTCGATTGGATCTTGATAAAAATACAACAATAGCTAAAGTGGATGAAGTTTTCTCTTACGGGGAAAGCCAGGTGGCCATAACCGTGTGTGGTGTCACTTAACCTTATGGGAGAGATGAGAGAGAGAGTGGCGACAAGAGAGGATTTTAGGGTTTAAAAAAAAAAATTACCTTGAATGCCTTGTGTAGCCATATATTTATAAGCTCTTTGTGTTTTAGAGTTTTGGGAGAATAATCCTTATTTGGTTAAAATTATTCTTACCCAAAAAGATAATAATTATTTCAAGAGGTTTGGTGGAAATTGGTTTCTTGATTTAAGGATATATTCCTATCTTAAATCAAATATAATTTTTTTAATTATGATAATTAGTTGACCTAAGAAATTTTTTTTCCACATGTCATCTCCTTATTGGCCGGCGAAATATGTGTTCCCACACCATTCATATATTTACTAAAAAGAAAAACTACAAATCATATTAGTGATTTCCCTCTTTTGGTTACACATTTCATTTATTTACCCACAAAAAGAAAACTACAACTCACATTATATTGGGCATATGGGTGATTCCCTCTTTTGGTTATACAAATTCATTTATTTTATTTTATTTTCCAAAATACAATTAATAATTATTTACCAAAAAGAAAAACATTCTGCCCATACTTAACTAAAAATAGGCCAAAAAAAAAAAAAAAAAAAAAAAAAAAAAAAAATGGAAATAATGTCTACCTAATACATATACCGATTAAATGTCCATTTATATTTCCTTTTTTAGAAATAATTTTATCTGTATCATCATTTTATATGACTAAAATGGAAACACTTTACAATATATTTTCTGTATCATCATTATATTTTCCATCTTGGTTATATTTTCCATTTTATATGACTAAAATGGAAATACTTTGCAAGTCTCACTGCTCGCCCAAGGCTGAGGCATGCACTTGTTTCACCCGATATGACTAAAATGGTAAATACGTAGAAGGAAATAATCGTCCACCTAAGACGATAGAGAGATTAAGTTTTAGTTGTAGATTTTTTTCGTTTCTGGTTAATATTCTCATATGCAGTTGCACTTATTCGAAGTACTAAATGGTCATTTCATCCCTTTAAATTGTCAAAATAAACTTACTATGTCATTATTTTATGTAATATATGTTTTAAATGTGTTGAAGTATGCTTGACAAAAAAAATGTTGAAATTTTAGCTTATTTTGTGTCACATAGGTTAACTTTCGATAATTTTGGCTTTAAAATTTGTCGAGGATTTTCTCGATAATTATTTTTGTGCTTAAAAATGTTAATTTTTTTTAACGAAACACTATATTATCTCAAAATATTCAAATATTACAAAAGAATGTAACAATTTTAATGACCAAACTACCCCTGTATCTATGAGAACAAATGTCATACATGATATAAATACGCTTGGATGGGTGGAGTATAGAGTCATCAACCATGACAAGGAGAAAGGTGAAACTTGCATGGATTGTGAATGATGCTGCTAGGAAAGCCACCTTCAGAAAGAGGAGGGCAAACTTGTTGAAAAAACTGAGAGAGCTGACCATTTTATGTGATGTGAACGGCTTGATCATCGTTTATGGGCCCGATAGTGACGAGCCTGTTGTGTGGCCTGAACGCCCAATGGTTCAAGAACTACTGGCAAGGTTTCTCAGCATACCGGAATTCGAGCGGTGGAAGAAGATGACGAACCAAGAGACTTACCTCAAGGATAGTGCAGCCAAAATACAAGAACAAATAAGGAAGATTCAGAAGAAGAACAATGAGATGGAGATGAATTATATCATGCACCAGATTCTTCAAAATGGTAAGCCACTAGATGCATTTCACGCTAGAGAGCTAACTGATTTGGTTTTTTTTATGAAGGATAAGATGAAAGAGATCGAGAAACGGATGGATCCTAATGTTCCACTATGTGCTTCTCCACATAATGATGAATGGAACGCTACAGAATCTTTGTTTAATTATTTGCACAAGGAAAAGACGAAGCAAATGGAGAACATTGTTGGAGCTAGCAGTAGTGTGAGGAGTGATATGGGACTGCCCGAATATACCTATTTTGGTAGTTCTGTTAATCCTGCAAACGGGATAGGGTTTCCTAGCGTGAACTTTGAAGGCAATTACAGCTATGGTGGAAGTGATTTAGGGCTTCCCAAGCAAATTCATAACATTGCTGGTTCGAGTAGCAGTGTTAGGCATTATGGAACTGATTTGGGGATGCCTCACGTGAATTATGGAGGAAGTTCTACTGGTGGAAGTGAGATGAGGCATGACATGCTTCCACATTATTATGGGGATAATATTGTAGGCAATACTGGATGGGGTACTAGAGGAACCAATGCTGGATATGGTGATAGACTAGGGCTTCTGCCCCAACAGCTGAGCGTCGAAGGTGATAAGGGAAGTGGATTAGGGTTGCCTGCTGGATTGTTTGGAGGCAACAACGGTGGAAGTGACGCAGGGCTTCCCTATGATGTTAGCAAAACTTGAAAAAATCCATGCTCTCCTTGGATTGCAATTTACTTTACTGTGAAACCAATAAAAAAAAACACACACCCATTAATGTACTCTTTGCAGTGGTGTTTGATGTCATATGGTTTGTTTTTTTTCCATTTTTCCCCACATTTTTAAATTAATGCATCAAAGTTTTCATCTTTAATCAATTATTGTTATATTTTATAGTAATATTATGCAATTTACTAGTGTGTATTTCTTCTTTTAGCTTAGTCAGATGGGTCTCGATACATGTTCCTCAACCAAAACTGAATCATAAAAAGTCGGGTAGGCAAACCTTATATACTAAATTTGACGATTTGAGTAAATTTTATTAATAAACATAGAAAGACACACATAGTTACGTGACGTAACAGAACCAGCTACCTAATACCTATTTTATTTTTCCGAAAATTTTCGGGTAGTCAACAACCTACCCAATACCCAGCTAGATCCACCACTTCTCTAACCCATCTCTCATTTCTTGCTCTCAGTGAAACAAGCTACCCATATCTCATCTATGTCTCAGTAGGTGATCTACTAATTTGGGTACTCGTTTGAAATGTTTGAAGAAAAAAAAAATTGAAATAATAATTTGGAGGGTACCCATTATATACGTCCAGATCAAATTATTAGAACATGGGTGTCCATAGAGCATATAATGGGTGTCCGTAGAATCACTCGATCCAAACTAGAGTAAAAGCCCAGACTCACTCAATATGAAGCTCAACTGAAAAAAACAAACTGCGAAGGAACCAGCTCTCGTATGTTCCTAGCTGTCTTAGGCACTAATTCGAACCCAATGTATACTTGTTACCCCCCAAGAATTATGGCTACAAAGGAAGCTCCTCCCCTATGAGAACTTTTTCAAAAGAAAACTCAAAAACTTCATTCATGCCCCTTTCACTTGTTAAGGAAATTTTACTATATTATGTGAATAAATTTGGTGATTCTAGTAATGGTAAATAAATTTGGTTTTAAAAAAATTGTGTTACTCGTATCACTTTTCTGACATATTCTATATATATAGAGTCAGGGCCGTCCTTGAGATTTTGAGGGCCCCGTGTTAAATTGAAATTGGGGCCTCACATAATCTAATACAAAAATATTTATAACTAAAAGTCATCATCAATAAACATGTGTAGGGGGTTTTTTGTTCCAGCAGCCTGACGAATGGGTCTGGGCTGCTGTAAGAAGACAACGAGCAAAATCCCCCAAATGCCTGAGTTCGAAAAACAAGCTCCCAAGAGAGTTTTTGGAAAATCTAATGAGATTTTAAAAGAACACTCTCACGATCACTTCACTAACACCCAAATAAGCATGAAGATTTCATTAATGGCTTAGCCTGAGGAGTATGTGGCATGGGAGCTAAGCTTTCACAAGTTTAGCAATTTGAGAGAGAGAAAACAGCGTAGGTTTCTTACAGAAGAAATATTAGTACGAGCCCTATCCTAAAAGAAGAAGAAAGATGAACAGAAGAGAGGTTTGGGGTGGCTTGAGTAAATTTCAGGTTGCTTGACAAAACTTGGTCAGGCTCTGGATCGTTGAGTTGTGGATGTGTTTTCTGGGTAGCAAAAGTCTCCTTTTATAGGCGTTAGGAGCTCTAATTTCTTCTGGTTTTCCTCTTCCCTTTTTCCTTGGCAGCTCCTACTTAGCCCTATTTTGATGAATTTCTCCATCCAAGGAGTATGGGTATGGAACCCTTTATGGTTCCAATGGTTTGACGCAGCTGGGCTTTCCCATAGAGGGGAAGGCGCCACATGCTTTTCTTATGTTTTCTCCAAGGCAGAGCTTACAGAGGAAAAGGGGAGGGCTGAAGCCTTTTGTCTGATGGACACTTCTCTCACCCCCATGGATTTCCTCTGGTCTTGCCATGGCTCCCTTGTGACCATTGTTTGGAGTTCAAACGGGAATAGGACTTGACGCCAGATTTTTGCAAGTTGCTGGGCTTGGGCTTGTACATATGGTATTGGGTCCTCTGGCTTTGTTGCTTCTATCGCTTGACAGGCTTTCGTCGAGCTGCTAGAAAGGTTTTCTATTGATGTCGGCTGGGCTAAACATCTTGGTAGGTTCTTTGGTGTCTTCCTAGAGCATGGGTCAATTTTTTCTCCTCTCTCTCATGCTAACCCATATGCTTGGGTCCTAGGAACGGGCTTGGGTTCCAAAGCCCCCAAATGGCTTTGAAACCTACGTTCCTTGCACCCTCAATGGGCCCCGTGATTGCTTGTTTCCTTCCATACCACAACCTTCTCAGTAAGCCCCAGTTAATTTTGTGGCTTGGGCCCACTTAAGCTCGTGACGTAGCTCGGTATTAGAATGCGCATGATTTCTATGCTCGTGCTTGGGGTTTTATTATGCCATGATAGGCTATAGTTGGGCCAAGTAGCATCGAATGAGCATGTGAGCGTGATTTAGTAATATCGGTATGTCCTTGGCTCCTTCTGCACGTGCTTGTTTAGCATGATTTGTAGCTTGTAGCTTGTGTTGGCGGCTCTTATAAATTTTCTTTTATCCCGATTGAGCTTATTTTGCATCCAATCACTCATATTGGGCTAAGGGTTAATTTGGGCCTAGCCCCTTGGATTTTTGGGCCTCAACAACATGTAATGACAAACCTTATAATCCAAAAATTGTTCATAAATATGGTTAGTTTAGTTTGATGTGTCCCTTTTTTAAGGTGTTTTTGTTTATAAATATTTAAAATTTGTAATTATAATGCAAAAATAATAATTAAAATAGGTGAGAATGACTTCACATAATAGAAAAAATCAAAAGCGACGAAAAAAATTTCATCGCTCAAAGTCTTGTGCGACCAATTTTGCGCGACGAAAAACAATTCGTCGCACAAAGTCTTTGCGCAACAAAATTTTGCGCGACAAGAATACATCGTCACTCAAAGTGACTTTGCACAACGAAACAATAAACTTCGTCGCACAATGTCTTTTTAAAAATAAATAAAATAAAAAATTTATTTTTAAAATCTTTGCATGACGTAATCCAAACATTGCATCGCCTAATCCAATTTATTTTTGTATTTTTATTTTGTATGCATAACATTTAAGAAATTAAACGATATATATATTTATTAAGTAGCTTTAAATTTATTATTTTAGATCGGATCGGATTTTTGTTAGAAAAATATATTATTGTAGTTCGGATTGGGTTTTTGTTAGAAAATATATATTTTAAATTGATGATCGAATTAGTTCAAGGAGTGTAGCTGTAAAAAAATCATCAAAATCGGAGTTAAAATAATCGTTAAATCATGATTTTTCATTTATAACCGTCGAAAAGTTTTGTCCCATTACTTGATATCTGAATGTTTATTTTTTTCGATTTTTGACGTATATGATCTCGAAGTATAAACAAACAAGTTTGACGGTTGGATCATTGAAAATAGTTTCGTAGAATGCGTATGCTATCAAAAAAATATATTCACTAACAACTAAGAGTTTATTTATACTCTCGTTAAATATAACATAAGATTTTGTGGTATCCACTAGTGTAAATATTTTAAATTGAAGATCAAATTTAGTCATTATATTCATCTAGGTTCAAGGAGTGTAGCTGTAAAAAAATCATCAAAATCAAAGTTAAAATAAACGTTAAATCATGATTTTTCATTTATAACCGTTGAAAAGTTTTGTCCCGTTACTTGATCTCTGAATGTTTATTTTTTCCAATTTTTGGCGTATATGATCTCGAAGTATAAACAAACAAGTTTGACGGTTGGATCATTGAAACTAGTTTCGTAGAATGCGTATGCCATCAAAACAATATATTCACTAACAATTAAGAGTTTATTTATACTTTCGTTAAATATAACATAAGATTTTGTGATATCCATTAGTGTAAATATTTTAAATTCAAGATCAAATTCAGTCATTGTATTCATATAGGGTCAAGGAGTGTAGCTGTAAAAAATCATCAAAATCGGAGTTAAAATAATCGTTAAATCGTGAGTTTTCTTTTATAACAATCGAAAAGTATTGTCCCGTTACTAGATCTTTGAATGTTTGTTTTTTGCAATTTTTGGGGTATACGATCTTGAAGTATATACAAACAAGTTTGACGGTTGGATTCTTAAATGGTGTGTGTATATATATATATTTATTTATTTATTAAGTAGCTTTAAATTTATTTATTTTGTACGTATAACACTTAAGAAATTGAATAGTATATATATTTATTAAGTAGCTTTAACCTTATTTATATTTTAAATCGTAAAATAAAATTATTTTATTTTTTTATTATTCATAAAAATTATTTTTATAAATATTGTGCTACGAACCAATTTTTCGTCTCTCAAATCGTCTCTCAAAAGTTTGTGTGACCAACAGTTCGTCGTGCAAAACTCTAAAAATTTGGGTGGGTACCAAAAATGGGACGTGGGATTTTAAAAATATATATATATATATATTTTTTAGACTTTGCGAGACCAATATATATTTTTCATCCCGCAAAAATTTAAAAATTTAGGTGGGTACCAAAAATAGGACGCGAGAATTTTTTTTTAATAATTTTTTTAGACTTTGCGCGACTAATATTCCAATATTTTTCGTCGTGCGAAGTGATACGGTTTTTAAAACCAAAATAACTCCTCCACCATTTTTTCAATGTCTTTCTCTACTCTTCCCTCTCCTCAAATCCCACCCTTTCTCTCACACTCACTTAATCTCTCATCTCTCTCTTCACTATCTCTCACTCTCACTCACTCTCTCATCTCTCTTTTCACTATCTCTCACTCTCACTCACTCTCTCATCTCTCTCTCACTATCTTCTCTAATTCTCTCACACTCACTTCTCCCTCTCATTCTCACTCACTCTCAATCTTACCAAAAGGTATATTCTCTCCAAATTTTAATTTTTTTTTCATTAATATGTGTTTTTGGAGTTAGTTTTGAGTTTGTGTGGGGTTTGGGGTTGAGTATAGGGTGAGGATTGGAGTTTGGGTTGGATTTATGGTATAACTATTTTAGGGGAGATTATGCCAATTT